ATCTAGAAGTGGTGTACTGTTGCCTCTATATGTTATGTCTTTAATACTGCTGTTAGCTGTTTCTATACCTAAATTGCTATCTTCTATATAACTATTTAAATGTATAAAATCACCACATTGGGTAGCAACATTTTGATAGGTATAATCAGTTTGTAAACTGATGTCACAAAAGTTTTTTTGAGTGGTTTTAAAGTCACATTCGTCATATTGTGTAGATGAATCAGCAGTTTTTTTATTACATTTAACACAAATATTTAAATATTTTGTTTTTAACTGTTTTTTAACTATATTTTCTGTAGAGCTATTTATATGAATACTATCATCTGTGGTTAAAACTTTGGATGAATCAACGCAAGTACCGTGATCCAATTCTTCTTTGTTGTCACCATTAATTATAAATTTCGGAAACTGTAAAGAATAATGGTTTTGATTACAACCAATAGAACTGTTTAAATCAATGTCTTTATTTGTGAGCTCAGAAACGTTGTTTAAGGAATGAGACTGATTTGTAACTGTAATGTTTGTTAAATGATCTGATACTCCAAACTTTTTTATTTTCTCAGAGTTAGAAATATCAGAAAAATTGCGAAAATTTTGCAAGTCCGTAAAATGTGAGCCAAGACATGTATCAGAATTAACACTACGAAAGCTATCTCCTAACCCTGACGAGCGTCGACTTAATACGCTTCCAAGTAACGATCCTGATAATTCGCGATCTGTTAAAACCCATGAGGCTTTATCATTAGTACTAACAAAAGAAGCAGGCCTATTTTTAGTTTTCTTTCCAGTAGTTTCTCCATATACTGATTGTAGTGCACGTGGTTTGGGATCTGATAGAGAGCGTTTGACTGAATGCTCTTGACCTATAATTCCTTCACTACTTTTACAATTATAACGATATGATGAAAGTTCATCTTTATAATTTTCAAGCAAATTGCAAGCTGTATCAGAATTATTTCGCTGAAACAATAAAGGTGATGAACTTGGGGAATGGCTATGAGCACTTAATGAAGGCAGAGTGACATCGTCATCAAAAAAATCTAATGTTGATCCATTTCCTTTGCGTGCTTTTTCATACAATGTCTAAATTTCAAGAACAAGTTTAGCAATTATTAAAGTTCCATTAATTTCCATTATTTTAATAATTTTATGAATATAAATTAGTATTATAATTTTAAATACTATTATTTTAAAACAAATTTTGTTTATATAATTAAAAATTAATTAAAATAAAAGATTGGTTTTAATTTATTTTAAAAAAAGTAAAAATACTTTAGCCTTATCTATAGCTTCAATCCATTTGCTCTGTTCATTAGGATTTAAAAGCAATGTAAATGCAGTAGACATAACACCATACTCATTTAGATAAACAAACAGCAAAGAGCCAGCAAGGACATGTAAAACAACTTTGCTTAAACAATACGGTTGACGAACTATACGATATTTTTCTCCACCTCTTTTTGGTTTTGTCATAATAAGTACATCAGTAAAAAGAAACGCTTGTACATCAATCTAAAATTTAACAATAAACTTATGCTATGATGAAAATTATATATCAAAAAATTCCTTACATAAATATACACACCCTCCCGTTCTTTTCAACAATCTTCATTGGACCATCATATAAAAGAAATCTTTTTTCATGAGCTGCTAATCCTGGTATGCGAGCTCGTAAGTCAAAATTACAGTACTCAGCAACATGCTAAAAATATTATCAACTTTATGAATCAAATTGTTTTATTAGTAAATTAAAAGCATTTATTTCTCTCTTAAACAAAACCATTTAAACCATACAAATCTATTTAAAATAAATCATAATCATTTACCTTCTCAATTTCATCAGATGCTGACTCAATGGGTAAATAAAGTTCTAACTTTTCAAGAACGGCATCAAGTTTTTGCTCCTCTTGTCGTAACCGAAGAGTTGTATTGATTTTTCTAACAAACTGCTCCACTTGAGTAATCTAATATAATTAATGCTTAAACAAGTTACAGGTAAATGTATTTATAATAAAAAAACACTAATTTTATTAATGCATATCAAAAGACAACCAGCAGTAAAATATATTAAAAGACAATCAGCAGTAAAATATATCAAAAGACAACCAGCAGTAAAATATATCAAAAGACAACCAGAAGTAAAATATATCAATAAATATATCAAAAATAATATATTAACAAATAAGTAGATATATAAAATATCTTTTCAAACTAAACAGAGTTTTCAAAAATTGGAAAAGTTGTCTTTACTTTTAAAAAGAAATTATTTTTTCTGCATATACAGTGTCCAATTTCAAATAATTCCAGATATCAGAAACATGGTTAGAAAAATCTTCTAAAGGAGAAAAATTTTCGAAAAGCTAAGCAACTATGTTGTTTGCATATTTTATAAATTTGACCACTAATGTAGTTATTTTTGCCAATTAGAAAGAACATTGAACATTTAGTACAAACAAGATTGTGAAGAATTGTTAAATATGTTACCATGTCATGTTTAAGACGCCTAACTTCAAGTGAGTCCGAACTGAGCAACTGTAGACAATCATAAGACAAATTTTTTAAAGTTCTTAATTTTCTTTGTGAATTTTTTTTTTAAACTTTAAACTGTCTTAACCAATCCAATTTAGTATAGTGACCAAACTTAAGAACGATGTTCTAAAATTAATCTAATATAGGTAGTGAAAGCTCAAACTAGGATACTACATGGATTGGGAGTTTTATAGCATTCATGCTCTGAAGCAACTATGTATAGCAAGTATGATTTGAAGTGATGCTTGATTTGCAATATAGTTTTTTTAGTTAAGATTAGAGTTCACTCAGATCTTTTGGGTTCTAAAGACCATTTTTGGTAGTCACTCAGATCTTTAGGGTATGAAGATCATGCTAAATAATAATCAGTAATATTGACCTTGTTTTCATTGCAAAGTGAAGGAGGTACTATCCTATGTGCAAAATACTTATTGCTGATAATTGTCACATTTTTGCCCAGAGTACAAGCATATTAAGAGCAACACTTAAATCTATGATCCATGTAGCAATAAGAACTATATAACTGGATGTCATCTGTAAAAAGTTATAAATAACAATTTATAATAATAACTAAGTTAGTTATGGCTACTAAATCTTTAACATATAGTAAAAGCATTGCTTTAACTAACATACTAAACTGTGAAAATCCACTAACAATGCAAATTGGGTTTGATAGAGAACTTCACATCTTAACTTGTTGATATCTATTGTTGATCAATTAAGAATAATACCTCTTATACAAAGTAATTTTATCTAATAGTGGAATAAGTCAATTGTATTTTAAAATTTGGAATGAGTCAATTGTATTTTGGAAATCAATATATACAATATCTGTTATTAGATGTTTTAATTTGGAGTTAGAAAGCTATGATGAGATATTAAAACTAATCATTTATATCATATTGCAAGAACAAGTGTATGTAAGCAAGGTGGATCTATATTTCATTGGATATTTTAAATTTAAAAAATTTTTATTAAAAAAGCGTAACAAATCACTTTATTAAATTGCAATATTAAAAACATATTTAAATAAACTAAACAAATCAATATACTAAATAATGATTTTTGCTGTGTTATTCGTCTGATAGTGGTTATAATTGTTTCATGCTAAAAATTTCATTCTTAACTTTCAAGTAATGGTAAAGTCGTATATCTTTAATCTTTTCTGCTAGCAGTAAAGTATCTCTTAGCTGACTATAATGTTTTTTGATTTCATCTTCAGTTAATTATATTAAATAAACTGTTGAATCAAAGCATATAGCTTCATAACACTGCCACACATTTTGAATAATAACTTATCTTGCTTTAACCTTTTGCCATGCTATTCTTTTTAAAGTTTCTCCTACCCCATCAATAGTTCCTTTTCTGTGGGCTGTAGCAAAAAAATTCCACTTAAAAGTTGGAACATTAAATATCACTTGACAATACTTCACCATGAAGCTTTATACCATGAGGTTTTATACATGAAGCTGAATACTTCACCATGAAGCTACTTTACCATAAAGCAGTTTTTAAATTAAGGTGGACCATCATTCCATAACGTTACTTTGTGTATAATTAATTTGGTTGCGTAAGCCTTTTAAAAATATATTACAAATATTATGCATCTCTTAAGGATAAAAATAAAAGATATAAAAATTGAAGTGTTTAAGAAAAATACCTTTAAAGTTAATTCAAGGAAAACACTGATGCATATTTTGCTGTGATCATTTTTATATGTTAAATAAGCAACCATATTTTTCGAATCTTTACCATAAACAGCAACAGTGAAGATTATTATTTGAAATAGACTCCAATAAGCACTTTGAAATTGTTCTTGATGAGTACAGCAACAGTTTTTGCTAAAATTAAAGTGTATTAATAATTCGTCATCCATAATATTGTCAATTTGGTGGCGATAAACAGATGCTTGGTGACATTTAATTAAATGGTGAATCGGAAATTCAGGTAGAAGTTTCAACTCTGTAAATGTTGCATACATAGTGTTTGATTAATCCCTGCTGTTGACGATTTGTATCTTTGTCTTTGTACCAATTTATGTAACTGACTTCAATGTATTCTTTGTTTTGCTCTTTGGATAGTGGTAGCATTTTGTTGTTAGGATAATTATTACAAAAACTGACAGTAAGAAAATCTGGAGTGAGAGGACTGCAAAGAATCCAATTGTTTACCCATTTTGTGTTATAAGGTTCAAAATTAAGGTTTAAGGATAAAGCGTTGCATATATTAATAAAATATTTGTGAATTAGACAACACCAGGTTTCAAGATGCGTCTCTGAATATATGAGCTGGACAAAGTGCACAAAATTTGGAAAACTCTATCTGGCTTCCAAATTCTTCTGCATACAGAGCATAACATTGTCTTAATTAAAATAACAAATAACGTTTTTGAAATTTTTCACCATCAATTTTTATAAAGTCTTTTATATCTGGAGTCCATCAAGATTGAATACACTAGAAGATAAATGGATGCGCTTTTTTATCTTTGATATATCTAGAAAAGAGATATTCATTTCTATTGCTATCTGTTTAATGACGTAATCTGCTTGTAAAGCCAATTTAACAATTTAACAGTTATATCAATTGTTTAAATTACCCTTTATATCACGTATTTTAATTAAGGTTTTTCGAATTAAATCTTCTTCCTAGACGCATTTGAACATCTATACGATGCATTTAAACATCGAGATGGCACATATAAAGATTGAAATGACGCATTTAAAAATCGAAACATCTATTACGTTGAGATGACAAAAAAGATGCATTTTATATATACATTCATTTCAACTAAAATGCTTTTGCTAAATATTTTCTAATTAAAAAAATTAAATTTAGGTTGTATAAAAAAACTAAATTTGTTATAATTGTTGCTGTTGTTATGGTGAAAAACGCCTTTTTTCCTTCTTGTATCATACCAACTAACAATTGAAATAATAATATCACTAACAATTGACAAAACACCAAATATTAACAAACTTATTTAATCACTGTTTATTCTGAGAATTAAAAATAAAAAATACAAAAAAACATTTGACACAACTCCTTATTTTTATTTTTATTTTTGCCATATAAATTTATTCATAACATAAAAGATATGTAAATACAAATAGCAGGGGCAAGAAGAAGACATTTGTCTTATCGCCAAGCCCCTTAATCTATACCGTAATACACAATAATAAAATATAAAAATCGTAAAACTACAGCACTACAGCATATAAAATATTGTTATATAGACTTATATATTTATAAGAAACAAACAAGAAACAAACAAAAAGATAAAACTCATAGGTCCTGATTGCCTCTCTCTAACTATAAAAATCTACTTATTTTAATATAACAAAAGGACAAAAATTAAATACCAAAGCAAAAGCAAATACTATAGTATAGCAAAAAATTATATACTTAAAAAGCATGCACGCAAATACTCATAATCCTGAAACTTTTCTTTTAAACCAGTATAGACCTTTACATATACATTAGAAGAAACCATACGCTACGTTGCTCATCAACAGTCTTTGCTTCGATTTGGTCTTAAACTCATTAGGCGTTGCAATTGTTTTAAGATAACTAGTTAATATTTTATCCCATACTTTTGGTCCTCTAGTAGAAACTGAAAATTTAGTAGCCACAAAATAATTTGTGGGCTGATGGTAGCTGTTATACAAGTATCTGGTTAAGTATCTGTTCTGATTTATTTTGAATAGCAGGTTAAATATTTTAAGAGATAAATTTTTTTTAATTTTGAACATAAATATAAGAAGATGATAGATGTTTATTTGGTAGATAACCATTATATTTAGCTTAATAAACAATGCTTAGGAATGTGTAAAACGTCCCACATTGGATATTATTCTGATTGCATGTTTTTGTTTGTTAAAAAGTTTTTTTTATTTGTACTGCACCAAGCAATGTTTGCATAATTTAGATAACAATGAATGAAAGAGAAATATAAAAATTTTAAGCAATATGGATTTAAAAAAGGTTTTGCTCTACAAATCAGACCGATGTTCTTAGAGATTTTACTTTGTATGTGATCTCTCCACGTCACATAGTATATTTTGTCTTGATTAAAAGTATATTTCGTCTTGATTATATTTAGTAATAATTTATTTGCACTGAACCATTCAGTAAGATTTATTAGCTCTTTGTTTACAGATTTGAACAGGATGCTTATATCATTATGTGCATAGAATAGGTTTGTATCATCTGCAAATAAAATTGTTCTAGTCTAGTTCACTGCATGCTTTACTTAAATCATTGATATAGATGAGAAATAGGAGTGGCCCCAATATAGAACCTTGAGGGACCCCACACATTATATTCATATCAGTCATTTTACCATCATTGTAAGAAATGTATTGCGATCTATTTGTCAGACAGCTTCTAAACCATGAAATATTTATATTTTTTACACCATAGTTTTCTAACTTTTTAAATAAAATGAAATGATCGACAGTGTCGAAAGCCTTACTGAGATTAATAAATACACACAATGTATATTTATTTTCATTAAACGATTTAAATATATTTTGAACAAGATTAACAATTGCCTGATTAGTAGAGTGACTCTTTTTAAATCCAAATTGCTTATTAAAAAGAATATTGTTTGCAGCTAAAAAGTAATATAATCTTTTATACATAATGTGCTCTAGTAATTTTGAAAAGCATGACAGTATGGAGATAGGTCTGTAATTGGAGATATTAGCCTCGTCTCCTGATTTTAATACTGGCATTACTCTTGCAACTTTAAGTCTATCAGGGAAGATTCCTTGCTCTAAATATGTGCAAAAGTGGGATTTTTAAATATAGCATTGATTTAATTACAACATTACTGCTTACATCGTCAACTCCGAAACCTTTATTTGGTTTAAGTAGGTATGCGACCTCAAATAATTCAGCTTCTGTTAGTATATTATTATCCATTATATTATTATTAGGGTTTAGGAACTTATCAAAGCAGGTTTTACTTTTTTTATATTTGATGCCAATCTTGGGCCTGTGCTAACAAATGCATGGTTGAACGAATTAGCAATTATAGACTCCTTAGTAATTTTACAATCATTTTTAATTAGCTTTTTTTGGTAAACCATTAATATTAGTACTATTTTTTACCTATAACCTCTTTTATTATGCTCCAAGTTTTTTTTATATCATTTTTGTTATTTAGTAATTGGCTACTATAATAAAACTTTTTTGCATGCTTTACAATTGTCACAAAAAGATGATTATAGTTTTTACAATTTGTTTCATTCTTATATGTTCTTTTTTTAATAAACTTTTGATATAAATGTTGCTTTTTTTTGAAAGCTTTAATGATGCTGGGTGTTATCCAGGGATTTTGTAATGTTTTTGTTTTAGTAAATTTAGTTGTTATTGGGAATGCTTTATTGTAGAGGTTTTAAAATTTACAATAAAAATTATCATAAGCTTTATTAACATTTTTAGTATTCAAAACAGGTTCCCAGTTGGTAATAGATAAAAAATTATTTTTTTTGTGAAATTATAAAGACTGGAAAGTGGTCAGATATGTCAGTTATAAATATTCCAGTTTTTATTTTTATATTTTTAAAATTATTAGTTAGAATTTGATCAATGGAGGTGGTTTTTTTTTGTTACTCTAATTGGTTTATTTATTATTGGAGAGAAGCCATTTTGAAATATAATTTTATAAAATTTTCTGACGTCTTTATTTTTGTTATATTCTAACAAATCTAAATTCAGATTGCCTGCAAGGAAAACGCATTTACCACATATTTCTTTGTTAGTAATAAGGCTTTTAATTTGTTTGATAAACGCTTTTTTATTGCCAGAAGGTGGTCTATATATAATGACACAATTGCGTTTTTGTATGTTTTGTTTATAACCTCAATTGATAATAATTCCAAATCATGAGTCATAACAGAATATTCTTTGCGCAGCTTAAAATCTTAAGACTTGTGAACAAAAACGCACAACCCAAACCTGCTTTTTGAGAGTCTCTAATTTATAATTATTAGGTTTAAAATTAGAATTGTTTTCAATTTCCTTATCTTGGCACCATGTTTCTGTAAGGCATATAATTTGAAAATTTATTTTAACGCTTAAAAGAAACAGTTTAAAATTCTCAAAATTTTTGTTGGATGCTTCTAATATTAAGGTGAAGTATGGATAATGCATTTGAACCTAAGTCAGCAGTAATGTTTGAAATATCTGAACTATAGTAATATAGTAATTTTTCATTCCCTCATCATCATTATAAAAATTAATATCTATATCTGATTGATTTTTTAACAATATGTAATTGTTTTTCAGGAAAGGTTCAAAATTAATTATATTAGTATTGTTAAGAATATGTTAATTAAATTGTTAAGAAATCCATTTTTTTTTTATATCATAAAATATTGAAAATGGCTACCAAATTCCTATATATGCATAAAAATAAACGACAAAGTGAAGATATTTTTTTTAGATGCACTAATGCATCAGTTAATTTAATTTAAAAAAATCTATTTCTAGTATTTAGTTTAAATATTTTTGAAGTATGGCAATCTTATATGGAATGACCCATTCACAGAGAAATGGAACAGAAAAACAGTCATGGTCCTTTGTGCTGAAGAAACAGAAATTAGACTAAACAGAGAAATATTTGAAAAAGATTTAGAATATTGTTTGCACAAGCGGGTTTGCAGATGCGGAATTGAAGAAATTTTGACATTAATTTTGAAACTTTTTAATTTTAAATTAACTGAAATATTATGGCACTTTTTTATGGAAATTTTTTTCGGACTTCCACTTACATAGCAATCAGACGTGTTATTTCAGATTAGTAAGTGACTAAGGACCTGGCCCCAGCTAAAAACTAGACTTTTTTGCAAATCCGGTCCTGGCAAAATTATAAGATTTAGCAGGGGTTGATAGCTGGGTCTAGAAAAAAATTTATAATTCTTTATATATTATAATTTTATACTTATATTTACTATTTATTAAATTCTGGCATACATTTATGCCAGTATTTAATAAATAGGGACAGATACAGTAAAAAGATGCAACTTGTTGATTAAGAAGCCATGCAAGAATGAGTTTTTGTTTATTGTAATAGAGATGATAACTTGTTTGAGCATTGAACATGATTAGAGAAACAGCATAAAAGAGGAAGGCTAAAGCCTGTTGCTGCTGCTGATGATCATGATGATAATGATGATGATGGCATTGATGATGATGATGACGATGATGATGATCATGATCATGATGATAATAATGATGATGATGATGATGATGATGATGATGATGATGATGATGATGATGATGATGATGATGATGATGACAATAATAATGATGATGATGATAATGATGATGATGATGGCAATGATGATGATAATGATGATGATGATTACGACCATGTTGATCATAATGACGTTTATATATGTATATATATATATACAAAATATAACATGAATTAAAAAAAAAATTGTACTTTAGGATGTATAAATGTTTATGCACCCCAGGTCACAAATCTGGTCCAGACCCTAGCTATATTTTAATTAACCCGACGCCGGTCAAATATTAACTCCAGTTGCTTACTATTTCAGATTAGCAATTCAACAAAGCTGTAACAACTAGTCAAAAAAAACCTTTTTTAAGAGAAATAAATAAAATAAAAGATATAAACAACAAGTAAAAATAATTATGCTTGAACAAAACAGTTAAACAAGATTAAAATATTTGTTTGTTATTAAAAACTTCTTACCATATTCTCTAAGGCCAAACAGTCTTCTTGATCATGTGTATTATGCAGAATAACTTTTAGAAGAAGGTTGTACTTAGTTATTCGCTGCATAGGCTTTACCAAAAGATCTGCAAGTTTTAATCGCATGCACTGATGATTTTCTTCACACCACTACAAGTTAAAATAAAACTTTTCAAGTAACAATATTAGGCAAAAAATATATATATAAATATATTACATGTTCTTTCATAAAAAAGGTTTTTGTTTTCCTGATAACCCAAAGGCTTTCAGGAAAACAAAACCACATTAATAAAAGTTCAATATTTAAGATATTCTGAATATATTGTTGACTATATAGACTGAATATAATTCTAATCTGTTAAATAAATGATAAAAATTATTTTAAAATGATAGTAAAACACTAAAAAGTAAAAAAATATTCATTAACAGGATTCGTAGCCAATTATTTATATGAAATTCACTGACTTTTTTTTGAAAAATCAGACAAATTTCCCTGACCTTTTTTAACATTTGCAATGATTTTTATAAAATGTTTAAAATTACTATCTACTGTATTGGAAATGCTAAAATTGTATATGCTTAGCTATTAGTTAAGTTGGATATTAGGATGGATTTAATTATACATGTTAGTATGGATCTTATTATTAAGGATGACTTCATAGTCATGAACACTAAGAAAAACATAGATTTCAGAAAAACATAAGTTTCAGATAATCTTCAAGAAAATTTAAAAATTATGCACATAAAAATTTATATAAATCATCCTTCACTGACACAAAAATTAACTGAAATATCTATGTAATTATAAAGTTGTATAAAAACACATATATCTTTCAACATCCTTTGCAATAGTTGGTTTATAACACTACTTTGGATTTAAAATAGATAACACTACTTTGGATTTAAATAGTTGGTCTATAACACTACTTTGAATTAGCCGTTTGTTATCACTATTTGAAGTTGTACCCTTGCTAATCCAACAATATCTTCAGATAAAAATAGCACAGTATAACAAAACATAGTTTAGAGACATTAAAAAATATTTTGAGCATCGATAGCCAGACTAACTTATTAAATTGCATATGATCTCTTTTAATTAAAAACATCATCAATTGAAAATGCAAAGGTTTAAACAGATGTTGTTTAAACAAGCTGAAACAAGAAAAAGAAACTGACTAGGAATCAATGAACTAAAATCGAGTAAACAAAAACAAATAATTAAAATAACTAAAATGCATCGCCTGTTTAGAAAGGTTACTGTGCAAAGCAATTTTCTGGACTTATTTAAAATTGCTTTACAAAAATATATTTCAATTCATCTCCTTAAGAAGGCCACTATAGTCGAGGAGCCTTATTTTAGTTGTGATTTCAGCCCTCTCTCAACTCTATAATTCCAAAACACAAACCTTGACAAACAAAGCAGCTGTGTGAAGAAACAAATTAAGTGGGATACTACCAGGGACTTGGGAGGGATCAAACTTGGAACTTCTTGCTTATGAGGTGAGTGCTTTACCAAAAAAGAAAACAATTTATCTACGATATATTGTCTTCTTTTTTGGGTTGTTTCACACTTAAGTCAAACTCTTTTTTTAGCTTCAATGAAATTTTTGTAAGGAGACCTGTTTGAGATTTTAGCTCTTTAATTTCAGACAAAATAATGGCTTTCTGATCTAGCATTGCTTGTTTTTTATTCTTTGACTTCTCATCCTCAAGCATGAGTTGGTATTTTTGATGTGCAGATTTAAGGGCAACTTTCATTTCCGATGTAATCTGGACAATGTGGCGATTGCAGTTAATGGTAAGTAATCATTTACAAAGCGCCACCCAACAATACCATCTATTGATAAATTGTCGTTAACAAAACCCTTATTGACACTAAACCCCATTCAATTGATGTCTGTCCATGATTCAGAGTCAGAACTAATCTAATGACAGATGACAACTCTGGATAGTTTTTTATGTCAATGTCTTTGAAGTAAAAACCATCTAGGTGTTTATTCTTTTGATCATAGCTAATGAGAATGTTCTGATTCATTGCATATTTTGATGACATAAATTTCAGGAACTGGTTGATAACTTTGTTGGAATAAGAAGCAGTTAATATTTTAAGTATTACTGAAGTAAGATGATGCAGCAATGTTTTTATTTAATAGTTTTTTCAGGTGTGATCTGAGCATAAAACTTGGTTTCAAACAAGAACTTGAGTTAACAAACATGGAATCAAGCAGACATCTTTTAAATAACTTTTTTATGCATAGCTATCAATTGCTTTTTAAAGCTTTTAATGCAATTGATTTGCATAAAAAGCCTTAAAAAGCAATTGATAGCTATGCATGCTCCAAATAACTAATCTTTGTTGGTGATGAAAAAAGAGTATTTTCATTTAGTAGAAGAGTTAAAGAACTTTAGAAAAAATCAAACATAAAAGTAACAGATATTACATAATTAAAAAATAAACATTTTTTAATTTTATTTCCATAATATGTATGTTTTAAATAGATCTTTCTTTACTATATATAACTCTATAATTTTTGAATAGGTATGCTATTTTACAATGTGGAGATTTTTGAATAGATATGCTATTTTATAATGTGAAAGAAAACGTGCTGCTTAAGTTGCATTTCAACTTATGGACATTTTTTTTTTTACATTTGACACACACTGTTACATTATCTGATTTTACAATCAGATAATGGATTGAAACTTACTGCAAGTGTCATAAAAAGTTTAAAACAATTATGGCCTGATTTTCCATAGTTCACAGGAAGCCTTGCCACACTCAAAGCCAAGGGTCAGTAGAAAGACTTAACTGTGATGTAAAGGACATGCTAATTGCTGGGTTTGTTGACAATAACTCAACAGAATAGCCAAATGGTCTAAAAATTAAGATAAGATTTACATCATTGTCCAGGGGTGTGAAGTCGTAAAAAAAAAGTACCAACTCTGACCCCAACATTTGAAATTTTTAGAGTACTACTTCAAAGCAGAATTTTTGAAAAATTCTTTGAATTCTTTAAAAAATATTACGCGATATGAAAAATTCTTTGAAGGTTAAATAATTGGTACATGCACATGCAACACTGAGAAGTTTTGCAATTTTGTTTAGCGACTCCGACTCTGAGTCCACAGCCCTGCCATTGCCTGATGAATTATTAAAAACAGAAGACCTTTTTGCTGTAATGGATTCGAGTGTAATTTATGCAAACAAAAATATTATAACATTCTATAAGCAATCGCCAAGTTATTTCTCTAACTAACAGTAATGCAGATGGACAAACTTTGGATGAAATAACATCTCTATCAGATATCAATGCAATAAATGAACAAAGTAATAAAGCCAAAGATGCACAACAGATGAATAAATTTTGGATAAAATAGCAACTCAACCAAAAAAAAAATAAAGAGATTAACTTCTGCTTAAGTTAAAAGTAAGAGATTAACTTCTTTTTAATCGCAACTTCTGCTTGGTGCAAAGCTGCACCAAGTTTATATGTATATAATTAAAATTAATAAAATCAAAAATACATCAGCAATCAAAAGAGATAGTATAAGAATACCTATATCATTAGTAGAACTTGATCATGGAGGTCCTAGAAACTTACTTGGAATTATACTTGACCGCAATGAAAATAATTTATACCCTATATCAGTGAAAGGAGGAATCATGATTGGAAAATATTTATGAAATCAATTTGATTTATGTAGTCAAAACTTTTGTATCAGGCATTACCCAAAATGTTTTAAAGTAAAGTTGAAATGTAACAGTTGTTGTCATACCAACCTGACTTTCAACAACAGAATTTGTAAAATGCCTGAAAACTTTAGACAATGTATAAAAGTGAATGAGTGAATCAGGTAATTTATTTATTTTAAATATTGCCTGATTTTACACATTGCCTATAACATATACACATAACAAAATTTATCACAAAACTGCATGTCAACCTGCATGTAAACTTTAAGATCAACCTTAGATTTATGTCCCCACATTTAGAGTTTGAACTGTTGTAATTGTAATGAAAACAATAACATAAACAATAACTATTGTTATTATGTTAACTTTTTTAGAAACAATAACAATACCTGTGATTTACAATTATTGTAATACTGTAATACAATAACAATAAATATTGTATTATAATTTATCTTTATAATATATATTTTTTTATTTATTTATTTGAACTTTCATGCTATATTTTTCTATGCAATGTTCTTATATTGAAAGATATTGTTGGCTTAGCATAGGAACAGCCACAAATAGTCATTAAGACTAATCCAAAGTACCGTCTGTTATTGACCAACATATTTGCGTACCAAAGTACTATTCAAGCGCTGAGTTGGCGGTGGCAGGATTTGAACTTGTATCGTTCAATAGTCTGGGTTTTAACTTTTCGTTTGATGCTCTAACCAACTTCCACTTAGTTATTTGCTTTTACATTAGGCACCTATCCAATTGCTTTGAAACTTACTCAACTAACACTTAATCTAATATAACTTTGTCTTTTGTTTCCCTGAGGCTTTTATGACTGTATGTGTTTCATAGAATAACTGGACTTTTGGATCTAGTTGCGAAGTTATACAAGAATTTTCTTACATAAATCAAGAGCAATATTTATTTAGTATTCTAAACTGCTTCATTTTTCAAGAATGAGGTTTTTTAGAAATTTTTTTTGCAATACAAAAGTAGTTATCATTTTTAGACAATCTAATCGATAATTACCCAGGTCAATGGTTCCCTGATTCCATAACGCTGTAATTTATTACTCATTAGCTATTAATTATATTGAAAACAAAAATTTCATGCGCTTTATGTAGTTAATTAGTTTAGATGTCATTATCCAGTGAAACATTTCAATATCAGTGTAGACAAAATTATAAAAAAATCAAAAATTTCACTTCACAAAGTAAATAATTATTTAATTACAAAACATATGACAAATTATATATTTGTATAATTTTGGATGAATATTATAAATGCTAATTCTAAATAAATTATTCTTTAAATAGTTATATTATTGAACTCAAAATAAATAAAATTTATATATGTAAATCGTTGCTAGAAACAGGTGTCACGAGCACCCCTGAACCTAATGTTTATTAAGTATGTGTAATATATATACTTCTTTATTTTTCTGGCTTCACTTTACTTTTTAAAATAAATAAAATTAATATATATAACTGACTGCTAAAAACAAGCATCATGGGCACCTCTGAACTTTCTAGTACCCAAATAAAAAAGAAGCGTGGAAAAAGAATCTAAATACTTTAAAATACAATAGCTTTTGGACTTTGAAATAGTAATACATTATACACATACATATATAATAACTATATATATATATATGTAATTGTAATATAACAGGCTTAGACAGGAATGGTGTGCAATCGCACTATGTAACTGACCATGCTAAAAGTTTTTTTTCTTTACAACTTGACCATAGCTATTTGGATGTTTTAACAATTTAAATACAATAAAAAGTGTTATGTTATGAATATCTTTTAATTGTTGATCTTTTCTAAAGTTTTTATTTTACGCAAAAGGCTTTAAAATAAAACCATTTAATTATTTTTAACAATTTTTTACATAAATGCATGTGTAAATTAATGAAAAATGTTTTTATAAATTTTTTTTTGAGCAGGCATGATAAATTTAAACGTTTGAAACTATTTTCCCATGTCTTCATAAAAATCTTTCAAAGCATTTATTTTAGAAAGATTTATTTTAAATTACTTTAATTTATAAAATCAAAACCTTTTGCGACAACTTGCTTTTACACATTTTATGTGAATTATACAAGAATGTAAAATAACTTTATATATTTATATAAGCATGTATTTTGTTGATCAATGGAAAAGTTTTGAAGCATTTTGGTAATGTTCATACAATTAATTTTTATAACTTACGATTTTTTAAAATCTTTTAAACAAAAACTTTATTTTTTGAAAAACAATCCCCCCCCTCCCCAATTATGATAGGAATGAATGAGTTGAAATCATTTATAATAATTTTTAAATTCGTTAAGTGAAGCGCTTAATTTAGCTTAATTAATTAAGTTACAATGATCAAATTAAAATTACATTAAATTGCTTGTTGGCAGTTTATTTAATTTAAATTGCAGGCGCATTTTATTTATTTTTTTCCTATTTTTACGGTAAAGAGTTGGAAACCTTTTTTTTAACTAGACTTATTAATTAGAGCATGAAATTATTAAAAATTACTATTTTAAAAAGACAATGTTTTTTTTGAAACTATTTTTTTTTTTTTTTTTTTGCAACTTTTTTGAAAAAATAAATGTTTATACAATTTAAAAATATTAAATACAACACTTTTTAATAAATTTGAAAAAAATTGTTAATTTATTAAACAATCATTAGTAGTAATTTGTTTAATTAATTTAAAAGCGTTTTGGGTAACTTTAATGAAGAGCTTAAGGAGATTTATTTCAAATGCAATTAAAAACATAAAAAAAAGTTTCGCTTCGAGTTAAAGTTTTTTTTTTTCCTTTAGGAATACTTAATTTATTAATTTTTTTAAACTTTTTTCCTAGTTTAAGTTTAGATTAGCGTTTCTACATTCAGCGCATTTCTGAAATGTTTAAATCATCAAAACATATATACAATCGTGGGCAAGTTGTCAAGAAATAAAATCATTTGCACGGTCAGCAATAGTGCTCAATCGCACGCCATTCCTGTCCAAGCCTGATATAATATATTACAATAACTATAAATATATAGTTATTGTAATAGTTATACAAAACACCACAATAGTTTTTGTATTTATTTTTCATCCCAGAAATACAATACAAAAGCTAATGTAATTGTTTTACATCACAGCAATACAATACAATAGTTTTAGAATTTCAATGTATCGTTAGAACAAAAAAAATACAATAGTTATTGTAACTGTTTTTAATCACAATAATATCTCTGTTATTACAATACAATATTGTATTGTAATGTGTTATTGTATTTAATTTTTACAATTACAATTACAATTAAATATGTAATTTAGTTATAATCAAGTAAAAAAATCTTTCTGCTTTTATTTGATGAAGAAATAAGACTCAATAACCATAATAAAGCCTACATTAATAATACTTATTTGTTTCCATGTACATTAACACTTATAACATTTGTTTCCATGTACAGCTGACTTTCTCAATGTCATTTTTAATTCAGACATTGATTTTAGCTTATTTAATTTTTTTGTCATAGAGCAACCTGATTTTATTTAATCATGAATTTAGTCTTAGTTTTTAATTACTTTCAGCTTGATATCAGGTATAAAAATATTACATATTGTTTATAAATATCATTTATTATGTCTTTAGATTTTGAATTTAGTAGAGAAACTCTATCAGCGCTCCTCACATCGTGGTTTATATATGTATATAATTAAAATTACTCATCATAATGCCAAGAACATCATATTAACCTTATTGAATTAGGGTGTCACAGGGCATTTCTACTAAACTATAAAAAATTATGTTAGATGTAAATCTTCAATTTTAACAAGATGCAAGAAAAAAAACTATTATAAATTAATATAATCAATATATTAAAATAATAAAAAAATCAATATTTGTATATACGTTTTTCATATACATATTATTTTATACATAATTTAAATCTTTTATACCTTTCCCATAAAATGTTTGTTATAAATTAATATAATAAAATTTAATATATATATAAAATTTTATGTCATTGATCAAATAAAGAAAAATATATATAATTAACAAAAAGTTCAATTTAAAACAAACTTACTGAGAGATATTCAACAAAAAATTCATTTTGTCTTTTCAATGATTTCAAATACTTTACACAGTTTGCTTCTTCCATACAATAATGAATATATGGATTAAAAATTTCATCAAACTAAAATTATAAAATCATTAGAATAACTGACATCCATAGAATCTCAATTTAAAAAACTTTAGTGGAAAATATCACCAAAAAATGTACATTTGAAAATGAATCAAGCAATTGCAAGGGGTTGATTGTTTGTTTAGTTCTACGAACATCTTTTACCACTAAGTTTAGATGTTTTGTCCAGAAAACCATATTTGCTTCATATACTTCTAAAATATTACTAAATAACTTGTTTGGATCAACCTCTGTTAAAATGCCACTCTCCTGCAAATTAACCAGATATTTTTGAAAAACCTAAAGAAAAATTAACAAACAAAAAAATATATAAAAATCAAACTAAAAAAAACTAATTAAAGAATGATAATTAAGATTAAAAGAATGAAAATTAAGAAGTAAAAAAAAGATTATGTTGAATATAAAAATAAAATCTAAAGAAATATATAGTACTTTTATAATAACACGAATTTTACGAATATAGTTTTTTTCTGTCATTAGCAATTCCCATATTGCTTCTTGTTGAATTCTACACTCTGGTGAAAGTTCAGATACTTCAGTAATAACATCAGTCCATGAATCTTCTAAGAACACCTCATTGTCAAATTCTGAATCGTTATTATCACCATTATCAAAATTGTCAATTGTATGTTGGGCTAACATATCAGAAATGTTACGACTCATGTCCTAAATATATATATATATATATATATATATATATATATATATATATATATATATATATATATATATATATATATATATATATATATATATATATATATATATCAAAATATATTTAAAAAATAGTTAAACACTGCCTTTTTTATTGAAATCATTATATATATATATATATATATATATATATATATATATATATATATATATATATATATATATATATATATATATATATATATATATATATATAACTAAAGGAATTTGAAGCACAAAAAACTAAAGGTGAAAAAAATGTGAAAATTGTTCCTAAAAATGGGAATTCTCCAAATTGTCCTGAAGAGAGCAAGAATGAAGATTTTTGGGCAATAGTTAAAGGAGGTTTTCATAAGACAGGTGAAGTAACAAAAAATAAAATGGACTTTCATAAAAAGTGGATTAAAGCCACCAATAAAATAAAAAAATAAAAAATCTGCAAAATGATAGCATCAACCCGTTATAAAACTTGATTTCTTGCCAAACAGCACATCAAGCATCTTAAAATTAAGTTGAAACCCCAATTGATGTAAACACATTAAATATAAAAAAAAAAATGAATAAAAAGCATTTATGGTTGTAGAGAAATCTCAATTTAAAGTTGACCGGATTTTGGTGTGTCCACCTGATAAACACTCTTCTCTCCCCTCTCCCCGCTCACATCACATGACATAATTTGTGGATGAACCATGAAATTTAACATAATGTTGAAAGTTATTGGTAAAACAAAAAACTAAAATGAGAAAACTGAATATAAAAAATAATAATAATAAAATCAACCTTGAGGCTGTTAAATAATCCTGTTTTACGATTCAACTTTCCATTGACTGGAGTAAATTTGCCATTATGAATACTACTTTCATTAATTTCAGTTTTTTTTTGTCTGTGTCCACTCTAGAGACAAATTTCATTGACAGATAAAAAGTAAAAATTGAAATTAATCAAAATAAATATGAGAAATTAAAGAAAAATAGGGTATTAAAAAAAGCATTTTACCAGCATTTTATCCTCTGATCCTTTCATAAGCATAATAATTCGCTCATCAATTTGCATTTCTTGGTTAGCTGTAACAGTGAAACACTATTATTATTATATCTCTGATAACTATATATATATATATATATATATATATATATATATATATATATATATATATATATATATATATATATATATATATATATATATATATATATATATATATATATATATATATTTATTTATTTATATATAATATATATATATTTATATATATATATATATATATATATATATATATATATATATATATATATATATATATATATATATATATATATATATATATATATATATATATACAGGCTTGGCCTAGAAGGCCTACGATTTCACGTCAAAAATATATATATATGTATATAAACAACTATAATATGAAATATATATATGTAAATATGAAATATATATATATGTATATAAACAACTACTACTACCACTACTATATTTATAGCTGACATTATAATTCAATATATATGAAAGTTAAAAATATATTATTATTATTATTATTAAAAGTAGTAGTAGTCATAGTAGTCATAGTAGTCGTAGTAGTAGTAGAAGAAACAACAGCAATTGTGCTTTAAAGCTCCTGGATACCAAAAACTAGGATAAAGTAATGTTTTTGTGACTTATTTGTTGAAGCCGCTTAATTGTTGTTAAAAGAGACTTTTTTCAACATAAAAATCTTTTTCGATTACTTAATTAACTGGTTGTGTAGGTTTATTTTAGAAAATTAGTAGAGTTTGGAGATTTTTTGCAGACTTAAACACTGGTACGTGTTCTGCTTTTTTAAAAAAGAATATAAAAATATCTACCGGAGTGACGCAATACCACCACATTTATATGGAGTAATTAAAGCCCATAAGCCTGAAAAAGGTTACCCAATGAGGTTAATTATAGGCACCATTGGTACATTGCTGTATGTAGCAGCATCTCTAAATATTTAGTCAATATGATACAACCCATTCTAAACTTAAATGAAACGTGTTTAAAAAATTCTCAACAATTTGTGGATACAGCAAGATTATGGAAAATTGATAAGAATGAGGTTCAGGTCTCCTTTGATGTTGTTAATTTGTACCCTTTGGTCCCGATTAAAAAAGCAATCATTATACTAGTTGAAAGAATAAGAAACAACAAGAGCTTTATATCTAAATTAACTTTTGAAGAAATCAGGTTACTTTTAGAACTTTGTCTTTCTCATTGCTACTTTTTATATGAAAACGATATTCATGAACTTGAAAACTTCAAATACTTGAATACTCCAAATACACTTGAAAAGTCGTATTTGGAAAAGGACCAATTGGGTTAGCTCTTATGGTCGTAGTTGCTGAGTATTTTTTACAATATCATGAAAATAATGCTCTTTCATTGGCGTTTAACAAAAACATCCATGTGAAATCATTTAAAAGATATGTTCATGATATACACTCAAGGTTCCAGGTAGAAGAAGATGCGTAATAGTTTATAGATCTACTTTACAAACAACACAAAAGTATTCAATCTGCAGACTTGACTATTACATTTACCAATAATCAAAACGGTACAGTTTTAAAATACATCGCAAAAATGCAATCACAAACATTCAAATTAAACAAAACTCATGCCATGACACTAAAATTATCAATGGTGTCGTAAAAATAAATATATTTTTAATAAATAGATATTGAACCATAAAAAAAAGTTTTATTTAAAATATTTATACAAATAAAATCTATTAAAGATGTCAACATTTATAATATATACATAATTTATATTCATAAAATTAAAATTACTTAAAATTCGAAAATTTAATTTAAACAAATCATTTATTTGGAATATTTAAAGGATTCCCAAAGTGTTGAGACATGTTGTGTTCATATTTTAAACAAACCTTAGAAAATAAGTTTAGAGTTAATTCTTGAATTTTAGAGTTAAACTCTTTAATCTGATCTCACTTCTGAAACAGATTGGGGTTTGCAGTGGCTTGTGAATTTTAACTCCAACAAAAACTCAGTTAATGACTGCAAACAACTGTTAACATTCCTGTATTAATGAATAACAACCTTCTCCCTGAGTCCTCTTTTTTACAGCTTCTTGGATTATTGTTCACTACTCACCTTTCATAAAAACATTATATATAATCAATTGAAAAGTTAGAATCTGCTAAGGTTGTTTCTCTTCATCATGATTGCCATTTTTTTACTCCTGATTCCATTTTCTACCTCTACAAATTGATTATTCGCCCCTGTATGGAATACTGTTGTCATATTTGGGTTGGTTTTTCTAATGACGCTCTTTCTCTTTTAGACAGGGTCCCAAAATGAATTGTAAACACGGACCTGCTTTATTTGCCAAGCTAGAGCCTCTCTCTCATCATTGTAAAAATTGTATCTCTTTGTCTTTTCTACAAATACTATTGAGGTCACTGCTCAAAGGAGCTATCATTTCTAGTTCCATCAACATAAACTTATCTTTGCTTGAGCCATCATTCAGAAAAATTGACATTCTTTTACTGTATCTTCTTGCATGCTTTAAAGACTTCTATTCTTTATTTTTTTTCCTGCACTTTAATGCTTTGGAACTCTCTCCCATCTTCATGCTTTCCTGATTCATACAACCTACAACATTTCAAGCTTTTTGTCAACTATTTCTTTAACTCTGTCCATTATTTTCTAGTAACTACCAAATTAATAGTGGTTTCTTGCAACCTTGTTGGGAGTGAATTAGAATTAAAAAAAAAACTAAAAAAAAAAAAATTTACTAAACAAAGTTGTTTTGTTAATATTATAATTCAACTTTAACAACAACACTTATTTCTTGACATCAAAGATAAACACTTTAATGAGACCAGATTTCTTTTAAATGAAAAAATCAACAAGCAAAAAGTTTCCTTTGCAAAAAACAATATGGCATTAAAAATGAAAAAGTTTTTGTTAGTATCTTGATAAATAATTTGTTTTGGTAAGTCTAATTAACTCTAAAGTTGCTTTTTAAGGTTTATTTAAGATATGAACATAACTTGTTTTCTGAAGTTTATTTAAGATATGAACATAACTTGTTTTGGCACTTAAGATTCTCTTTAACAGGGTTCGAATTAGGATTTCTTAAATTTTTACAACTAATAGATTTTTTCTCCCACCTGTTTAAATAAAGATGCATAAGTAAAAGAGCACTACATTAAATAAAAATAATAAAATATCACTTCTAAAAAGTCTCACTCAAATCAGGACTTTTCCATACACCACCCATTATCACATTTTTATGAGAGATGCTAATGCCAATGCAAGTTTCTTTACTGCAAGAAAAAAAACTAGCTAATAAGAATCAACATTTCTGTAATTCGAACCCTGATTTAACCATGTTGCGATATCACAACACTTTATTCAAACCCTGATTTAACCATGTTGTGATAATACAACACTTTAAGAAGTAAACACATACCAGCATTAAACCAAAAAAAGTATTTTAAAAATAGAAATAAGGCAAAAGATAAAATTTATAACTTGCCTTTTACATGAAGAACATTTCCACCAAGAGGAAATGAATCAAAAGCAAGAGGAAGAGGTGTTTTTGATGCTTCCAAAAACACTGAATGGGTATTAAAACTAAGATCTCTTTTTGAGAGAAGTATTTCAACAGCTTCTCTAAAATGAAACTCAAAATAATTATTAAAAGAATTAACTTATTAAATAAAAATAAAAATATTATCTTTTAATTATCAAAATTTTATTTTTGTAACAAAATATTTTCAAATAAAATTTTGTCATAACAAGAATGGCATCCAATAGAATCATAAGTTATGCCATAAAATTTTTTACAGTCTTTTACAAAAGAATTTTTACAAAATATTTTTATACTATATAAATATTTTTTATTTAAAAAAAATTTAAGTTAACTCTAATTTAGTATTGTATTTTTCACAAATTTTTATTACCACAGATTGTGAGACCTAATAATTAAACTTATCTATAACCATATTATTTATTATCATAGCGAAGGCCAAGACTGAGAATAAAAGTCTAAGACATGAATAGAAAAAGAAATAAATAATAATAGAGTTAAAGTGAAAAATGTACAAACTATATCACTTTGGATTAGGTTAATGCATCAGTATATTATAAATTAAAAAATTAATTGTAAATAAAAACATTTAAATTTTAATTTTTAAATCATTTGATCATTTTTTCAATAATTCAAAAGTTATATATCGTTATAGCTAATGATATGCCTCAAAATGCATTATTAAATAAGCATTTTATGGATATTTTTTTAAAAAACATTTTTTAAATATAAAACATTGTAAAAAAACATTGTAACTTTGTTATTAGGTTTACATTGTAACTTTGTGATTTGGAGGACACTACATCAAAACCTTGTAATTTTCAAAATTAGATCAATTTTAAAATCAATGTTTGTATTTTTTCAAAAATCAAAATTTTTAGAAAGAGTATAAATTTGCAATTTAATTTTAACAAACCGTTCCGAAAAAAGAATAAAACTCTATAGCTTAATAATCTATTATTTTAATGGTTTTCAGTAACTTTGGCTGATAAGTTCATGCAAAAAAATAATATGGCTTTTGTATTTTTTTACATCATCTTCAATTTTATACACACCTAAACATCATATTAAATTAATAACATGAATAAAAAGCATAAAATTTATGAAAAAAAACTACAGTTATATAGATATAATTAAGTAAAGAACAAGTTTAAAAATAAACTTTACTTAAGTAAAAAAAAGATAATGATTTTTAACAAAAATTATAATGGAACTAAAATTTGACTTTTATCTTTTTTTTTAAATATTTAAAAAAAAAAAAATTAAAACTTTGAATTTGTGTAAAAAATGTACTTGAGGGATTTTCCCTTGAACACAGGAACCTTTTCAGCATCAACTTTAGTATCTGAATCATTATAAAACTGTAATGTGAAATATTCCTTTGAAGACATCTATAAATAAATATTAAAACATATGAAATAAATTGTAAATATAAAAAATCATCATTATAAACATTATTAAAAAAAGATTTTTAATAAACCATTAAATTTGTTGTGCTTTATACATAGTTACTGGGGTGGAAAAAAATTTGCCATTACCTGACCCCGCATCAATGGCCTTGTCATTACTTCTTCATAAAAACATTTTTAAATCCTACTTTGAAATTTAACAACAGAACTTTCAACTTATAACATTAAGCAATAAATGAGAGCATGAGATGTCAAACATTGCCTATACAATAAATTTTTATTCAATCTATTATATTGTATTTGATCGTTGCTGATTATAACAGTTTGTCTAATAAATATAATTTCATAGATATTAACAAATGCATATATAAATATTCTGTAAAAAATTTATATTCAAAAAGTAAAATATCTCATCAAAGTTATACTTAAAAATAATCTTTCAATAAGTTTTCAAAATAATAATTAATAAATTTTGTATTTATCAATATTTTTTAAATAGATAATACAATACTTAATTTCAATATATCTTCTTATCATTGTTTTCCTTATCATATTTCTTTACTTAAAAAAATATAAAATAACTTTTTTGTGAGTGAGCAGTTTCATTAATAATATATACAAATATATAAAAGCTATTTTTTGTTAAAATGAATTTAATTTTTTTCAGAATATAAAATTTAATTCACAAAACCATGTTTTATATAACGGAAAAAAAAGCTATTACAAGAAACAATGTCTTAAGCTGATCAATTACCTCCATAAAATAGTTCAGGAAGATTAATTTTTTTTATATTAGCCGTCATAAAAAACAACAAAATAACAAAATAATTCTCTTATTGAAAAAGTAAAATTTAATATTAAAATGACAATAATTTGAATAACAAAGAAGCTTTGTAACAAATGTCTTTATAAAGTTATTTTTATTTATACTTCTATTAGATCAAATTTTATCAGAGAATAAGCTAAAAAAATTTCTTTGCTTTGCCTATGTAAAGCTGCTTTTTAATAAATTATTTACAACAGATTAAAAAAGAAGGATTAAATATTCATAAAGCTGTTCTCTTAATTTGAGAGTTGAACTAAAAAAACTTACTTAAAATTCTTAACATACAAGCAAGAAAATAATTTTATTATTGCAGTAAAAACAAAAGAGCAGCTACTTATAGAAACCAGAAGAATTTTAAATTTTTTAACTAAAAAATAGTACAATCTGTAAAAAATAAATAGTACAACCTGTAAAATATAACAAATAGTTATGGAATGTTTCTTATGATTTTAACACTTAGATATATATAACATATAACATATAATACATACAACACATATATGATGTCTTTAAAAATCAATCATAATTTGGTAGAAAAGATGCAATCACAATTGAAAAAAATACAAAAAACATTCATATATGGTCAAAATAAATAACATTCACTGATAGTAATATTACCTCATCTGTGCATGGTTTCTTAGATTTGACTCGAGTTTTTGATGCATAACTGTTAAAAAATCTCTTTGCTGAATTATAAGTTTTGTATTTGTTGTCACTGAAAAAAAAAATTAAAAAAACTTATTCATTATTGAAATAAGACCATATAGGAAGTTTTTAGAAACTTCTTAACAATTATTTTAGACATGCTAGTGTCAAAATACCTATTGATTGTTCATAAAAAAAAACTGTATGATTTGATATTAAAGAACAAAAAATAGAAAGCTATAACATTTCATCATCATTTAGTCATCATTTAAAATATAATATACAAAATAGTTAAAATAGAATAATACCATAAAATTGATTAATGAGACCATATAACTGATTAATAATACAATGAAAAAGTAATTTTATTAATGTAACAAATGTTATAAAAGTACAAAAGAGGATGATAAAAGTTAATATAAGTACATTTCTTGCAACTTCTACCTATTTAAGTCAGGTGATGCATGTAAAAAAATAAAAACCATTAAAAAAAATTAAATAATAAAAACAGTAAAAAAATTAAAATATTATGAAATAAAAAACAAAAAACATTCTAGCCTATAAATTTGTGGTTTTTGAAAAAACATAATTTAATTAGTTTCATTAATTATTTTAATAGTTTTTACTTTAGTAGTCCTAATTTTAATATCAATAAAATGAAAATAAAAAAACATAATTAAACATAATGAATAACATAAACAGTATATATATAAATAAAAAAATTAAAAAAAAAAAAAATTTATGTTAGTTAAACTTTCACAGTAATTTAAAAAACGTGTATTTTTATTAATTTCAAAATTATTTTTATGGTTTTGACTTTAAGACAAAATGGATTTGGTTGGACATTGTTAAATCAAATTTTTGAAATAAAATTTGAACAAATAATTTTCACAAATATTTACATATATTATTTACATATTTGTTTAGTTAAAAGGAACACAGGAAAAAGAAAGTTCTTTAAATGCCGAGAGTAAAAAAGTACTGGAGATGGGTTTGCTAAGTAGTCTAAGCTACTGGCGTATCTGAGTTTTACGGAACCCAATTATCCAACCGAAATATATGTTATGTTTTCCCAGTTTATTTTATTTTAGGCTAGTGAAGTTGTAGTTTTTTTTCCTAATATTCAGAATTTTTATCACCGTAGATCTTTGTAATTTAAATGAAATAGTTTAAATTCAATACTGGGCATTTTTTTAGATAGACTTAAAGTTTCATTGAGTATTTTACCTTGTTAGTTTACATTGAATTGCATTACCCGTTTATAAAAGTAATGTAAATTTTTTTACTTAACAAAATATAATATGCTAAGTGTAAATTTTGTGCATAAGCTCCACTTTTAGTGCCAAAAAAGTATTTATATGGTGTTCAAAACTATTTTTATCAATAATAAAAACGGCGAGAAAACAAGTTTGTTATAGTAATATAGTATAATAATGTCTTAAATATAATAAATATTAAGATAAACATATTATTTTTAAACTTTATATAAAAAAATAATTCAGATTTCATTATCTGAAAACAAACTTTCTTGCTCAGAAACATTTTCGAAGAAGTTAGTTTCATTATTTTGGTCTTCCTCACTATTATTATCACTTAATGTACTTATTCAGAGAGTGCCATTGACTTAAGACATCTGACACATTAATGCCAGCACGTTTTAAAGGTGTTTCAAACGATGTACTAAATAAGTAATGGCATCATCTGCAAACTCATTGTTATTAACAGTTAAGTTTTCTACTACTTCTTTCTGATCCCATCCTTCACAATTTAAAATTTTCAGAACAAATTTGAATATTTACTTGCTTTCAGCTTCTTTCAGCTTCTTCTTCATAGCCAATTTTAATGCAACTTTTTACGCGTTTATAAAATTCTTTTTTTTTTTGGATTTAACAAAATTAAATAGCCTGTCATAATTTTTCAGCTCAATATCTTGAAAATAATATTTTCCCTCCTTACAAGTAACTTTTGAAATCAAGTATTTTATATGTGGGAGTTTTTCAAATTCTTTTTTTTTAAATAAATCCAAGTGATCTTTTGTTTTTGACAGAAAATACATTGTATTAATCATGTCAATTTTATCACTTTGCATAGAAACAGATAACTCTGATGCAATTCCAAGTAAGTCAATATACATACTTAAAAGAAATAGCACTTTATTGTCATTCCACTTCGCTAGATAGCCCTTAAGTTTAGCTCGCTTTATAGTTTTGGTCGATGGATCATGACAAATATTTTCTAAGTGCTGAATGTAAATTCCTACTTGTCAAGACACATTTTCATAGCAGCAATTTTGTGGGAAATCCATCGAGTACCGTTGCATTTGTCATCAATGTCATCAAAAGCTGTTTTTGACAAAGCATCTTTTAATGCAAGTTCTAAGCGATGAGCAACACAACATATAAATACTATCCAGGGTGATTTTTTCTGAAGAATAACATTAATACTTTGATAACTTCCTCGTTTAACTGAAGCACTGTCAGAAGTAAAACCTATAACCTTACTTTCTTCAACTTGAAACTCTTTAATTCAAAATTCATTAGATAATTCTTTGCAGCAATCTGCAATTGCATCATATACACCAATAGCTGAAGAATTTTTTTAAATTTCTTAAGCCTAAGCAAGTCAATGATTTAACTTTCCCGTTTATATCTAAGGAATTTTCCAGCCATTCAGATGTAAAAACATCAGCTAATTCTGATTTCTACTTTTCCACAGTGGCTATGCATAACAAGTCTGACATTACGATAAATTTATACAGTGTTCCAAAAATTTTTAATCTTGCCACCAAAAAACTGCTCAAGCTAAAATAGAATGATTTGGATGATCATAACATTAATGTTTAAATCTATATCTTCTAAATGTTTTTTTAAAAATAATGCATTGATGAGATCTGAGCCTCTAAAAAAACACCTTTGTAAAATCTTTTATTATTGAATTTTTAAAACTGCTAACTTTTCCACTGTGTCCACGGCGTTTGCAGTAATCAATAACATACTTTGACTTATTTTGTAAAACAAAATATTTTTAAATGAGAGTTTATTCACTCTATAAAAAAAAAATAATATCTCATTTTGCAATCGTTTTAAATAAGCAATAATTTTAAATTTAACAATATAACAAAAAAACTGTCAAATAACCTTCATTAATACCAGCGCTTTAATTGGGAATGAATGCCTCCATTATCAACATATTTTATAAGTTTGTCTAAGTTTAATTTTGTCAATTTTAAATCAACGAACAAAATTTTATTTTAAAGAATTCAAAATCCCGCCGGACAAAATGTCCTATGACTTTGTAAATTGATCGGACAATCTGAGGTTTTAGCCGGACAATGTCCAACTGTTAAATTAAGCCCAGGTATATAAAGATATATAGATGTATATATATATATAGAGATATAAAGATATATAGATGTATATATTTATGTACATGTATACATATATATATATATATATATATATATATATATATATATATATATATATATATATATATATATATATATATATATATATATATATATATATATATATATATATATATATATATATATATATATATATATATATCACGGAAAATAAATAAATATATATATATATATCACGGAAAATAACGGCTGGTCAACTGTCAACAACACTCCGAAATGACTAAAATTGCTATTTTGACTTCCCAAAATGAATCCTTGCCAATCAACCAGTTAAAAAAAAATTTAAGTTTAGAAAAATGTTTAAGTCATCAGAATGTAATTTGAAAAAACCATATAATAAAGTTTCATAAAAACATTTGAGTTTTGAAAAAGTGTTTAAAATAGTTTTATTGTTTATGGTATGCTTTGTAAACAAATATTTTATGTTTTTTTACTTATAGATAACTGTTTCATTTTTTTACTTATAGATAATTGTTCTACTTTTTAAAGACACACAATAATATACACATGAAATATAAAACTCACATATGATAAAGTATTTCAGAATCATCTTCAGTGCCAGAATCTACTTGTAGTTGTAATGATTGTTGAAAAGAAGTCTCAGATAGTAAAATTTCATCATTGAGTTCAGGAACTGAGGATTCATTTGAAAAATCTGTCAATACAGATTCTGTCATTGTATCATTTCCACGCAATTTCAAACAATAAAATAACTCTAAAAAAAAAAAAGAAATTTATGTTTATATTGCATGAAATCTGTTTTTAAACTCATAATTTTTATAAAGTATTACATATCAGATAGGTAACAATAGAAAATAAAATCTTTTTATCAAGCATATTTTGAGACCCCTTAAAGTACTTTTTCAGTTCCTTATTTCAATTAATCCCAACTTGATTAAAATAATCTATTAGTAATTTTGTACCAAAAGAAAACTGAAGAAAGCATGGCTCCAAAGCCCCCAGATACGCAATTCTAACAGCAAAGTCAAAAAAGAGGAAGAATATAACTTTAAAAAATTTGATATAATTATATAGTAAGATGACACATAATAAAAAAAAGGTATGTAAAGCATATGCTTCAAATACCATATTTTTTATATATGGTATTTAAATTTATATATAAATTTACATCTTTATATTATATTCACATTTTTTAGTACTAATTTAAATTTATTCAGTCTTTATTTAAATTTATCTTTTAAGATAATATAACATCCTCAAAGATTATATCTGCAGAAAGTTCATATTTTGAAATGTCATAAACCACTGCATCATTATCAAAAGACTCATTATTATTTTACACTACAATGTAAACTTGTTTACCATTTGACTTTGTGTAAAAGTGCTTTATTACGATAAAACGATTTACTTGTGTTTATTAAACAAAACACGACAAATGTTTCTCCCAACTACTGTATCTGATAAGAATTCAAAAAGCTCTGATAATTGTTTAAACTATGGCTCCTGAAATGCTACCTAAGATTTTGCATTTGAAGTGCTTTATTAAAAATATTTTGACAAAACAGTTCAAGTCTTTGTAGTAAAACTGTATTGCAGGTTTAGAAAGGAAATACGTGCTGTAACTGTCCACGCTTATAATTTTTTTTCTTCACAATTTGACCATGTCAGTTTAGATGTTTTAACAATTTAAATACTATTTAAAAAAACTAGTAAATTATGAATAACTTTTAATCGCTGGTCTTTTCTAAACTTTTTATTTATGAGAAGGTTTTAAATTAAATAAAAAATAATTATAGTGATTGTCTAAAATAAATGCATTTTGTGTAAATTAACAAATAATGTTATACTTAAATTTTTTTATGTAGGCATATATTTATTATGATAAATTTAAACATTTGAAACTATTTTTCCATGTCTTTCTAAAAATCTTTTGAAAGACTTAATCAGAGTATGAAATGATTAAAAATTACTATTTTAAATAGACTGGTATTTTTTAAACAATTTTTTTTTTTTTTTTTGCAATTTTTTATAAAAAATAAATGTTTATACAATTTAAAAAATATATATATTTATATAATACTTTTTAATAATTTAAATAAAATTTGTTCATTCATTAAGCAATCATTAGAAGTAATTTGTGAAAGCATTTTGCGTAACTTTAATAAAACATTTCAAAAGATAAGTTTAAAGTAATATATTTTAAAGCAACTAAAATGTAACAAAAAGTTTTTAAAATTTTGATTCGAGTTTGTTTTTTTTTTTCAGTTTTATTTTAGTGTTTATATATTTTCTTTTTCGTTAAGAATTGTTTCCTTTTTGAGTTATTTATTTATTTTTTCTTTCTAGTTTTAGTTTAGCTAGCATTTCTTTTCAGCGCATTTTTAAAATGTTTAAAAATCGTCTAATCATCTAAACAGTCAAAAAATAAAATCATTTACATGGTCAGCAATAGCGCTCGATTGAATGCCATTCCTGTTCAAGCATGAATAAAATAAAATTGATTGGTTTATTGAGCTGTAAAAATTTTTATCAAATATTAAACTTGTAAAACCAGAGTTTGAATAAGTAAAGATAAAAATATCTTAATTCATAGCTGTGTTTAATGAAAGAAACTAATATTATAATTTATGTGTTTCAAGTTACCATAATTTTTCTTCAAAGTATTTAATGAAAGAAAAAAAGCATTATGTGTAAACTAAAAAATGCAAGTACTTAAATAGGCAGGCATAGCAAGTTCAAAAGCACTGCTAAATAGAGAAGATTATTCACTTATTCTTTCTAGATAATTGTACTTCATTTTAGCATTAGATTTTTACACAAATGTTAGTTTCATTTTGAACATCTTTTTCAGGAGTTTTTTTTTTTTTTGCTTTCAATGAAGTGATCAAAGTTGCACATAAAGTTTTGTGTCAGAAAAGTGACTTGGTTTGACTAAAAACATAGAATAAAGTTTGTTGAGGTTGGTTAAAATTAAATTTTTGCTCAAACATTTCCCTGTTGAAAGACCTGTTGCAGTTAAACATGCTTTTAAATTTTCTAACTAAGTTAAGTAAATGGATATAAATAGGATTTAAATGAAAAGATTTACATAGACACTTTTCAGGCTTTTAAAATAGACTTTAAACTTTTAATATAATAAAACAACATTATCATTATGGCATTTAAAAAATTTGTTTTAGTAAGCAGAGTAAAACCGTTTTAGTAAATAGAAAATTTTTTTTTAGTAAGCAGAAAAATTTGTTTTAGTAAGCAGAGTAAAACTGTTAATTCAATACTGTTTTGCAAACTGTGTTTTAACAGATGTAACAGAGTAAGATCTGCTACTTTTTTAACCATATAAATATTCAAATACTATAATGAATCAACACTTAACTCTGTAATAACTTTGGTTAGCTTTCAATATAGTAATCAATCCATGCAGCATAATTTGCATCAATAAAGATTAAAGGAATGTCATACATCGCATGTCCAGGGTTTTGAAAGAACATAGAAGTTGATGATTAGGTAAATGTGTGGTGAGACTGTGGATGTATGATGGTGTAAAGTTATACACCTATATTATTTGCATAACATACATATGTCACTATACATTTAATAATAAGTTTACCTAAATATTATATTATACATATTATTATGAATAAAAAATATATTTTTAACATACCATTGTATGGGATTATATGATTTTAACATGCCATTGTACTGGGAGCTAAAGTCACCTATTTTAATGCATCTTACTTCTATTTAAACAAAAAGAGCTATTAACTAGTTTAATAACCCTTTTTATTAAAATAATAGTGAGATGTATTGAAATAGGTGACTATGGATAAAAGCTCCTAGTAGAAACAACTGTATCTTAAAAATATATTTTTTATTCATCATAATATCTATATTATATTTAGGTAAAACTATTATGGTAGCTTAGTACTAAAGCAATTGGGTTACAGCTGCTTTTGTACCATCTATTTTAGTGATTATTTAATCCTAATAAGCATGTCAAACTAAATCAGGAGGGATTTTACATAAAGTAGGATCAGTCGTTCCACCATTTAATACTGAGTTTTATTAGACTCTACATTAATGAGTGGAATTATTTACAAATCAAGTTAAATACCAGTCCTTTTTACGAGTTTAAAATTTAAGTAACTTTTTTTCAATCTACAAAACTGGTGTCAACAGCTTTTATTTTTAGTAACGGGGAAATGGATAAATAATTTGGGTGCTTTATTTTTAATTTAATTTTCATTTATCTTAAAAGATTTTTACTTTGTGTTCTTTATTAGTTCGTTTTTTCATGTTCGTGGTTGTTCTCCTCGTTTTAGTTATCCTGTATGACAGTAAATCTTCCAGTCAAAATATACTCAGATCTATTTTAACCGATGTAATACTTTTACTGAAAATATGTTGTTATTGTTATTATTATAAATACAAAACATAAATTTATATTCTTGAAAAAATAAATACATACCTGTAAACTGTGATTATACTTTAATACAAGAAAATTAACACTAACAATCAACTTTACGTATATTTATATAAAAATAGCTCCAATTTCATAAAATATACAAAAATATAACTATATTGTAAATAAAAGTTAGTGCGGAACCTTATTTATTATTACTTTTAGTTACTGACTCGCAAAATTTTTAAAAAAATTATATCATTGAAAATTTGTTTTCGTTTGATTGCCAATAACTTTCATTCCGTATTAAATTTTTTTGTTGATGATGCGTTTGTCAAGTGTTTATTTTTCCCAAAAAGTTCCGGCAAAGTAATTCCGGATTTCCGAAAATTTTAAACGCGAACACTATTTAAAAATAAAAATTACATCTTAACATAAAGTGTCAGCCTGAACAGAAAATTTTGATCGATTGTTATTGTTTTTTTTTTTTACTTTTTCAGAAAATAAAATTAAAAAATTATACTTTTTTATCATTAAGTTGAACGCATCTATAGATTCAAGACAAACAATTGGTTTTGCCATTTTCAAGTGGAACATGATAAATTAATTACAATAAATTTGTGGCAAATTTAATGTCGCTATTAATAAGTTGTGATTTACTTTTATCGTTATATATATATACCGTGTTTTTAAAATATAGTTTTAAAAGTTGGACCTTAAAAATTGGACCCCAATTAGTATTTTAAACAAAATTTCTAGCACTGAAATAGTTTATTTGTAAAAGTTAATTTTTTGTTTATTAATGCTCGATTTTAACAAGAGGCTTTTTGTTATTTTAATAAAAAAATTATTTATTTTTTTACGTTATTCGGAATTACGGAGTTTTATATTCACAAGATATTGTGCATAATAAGCTATATATTTTTTATTATATTTGTAAGACAAGATTGAACAGGTATTTCTTTGAAAATATGTGTAATAATTCAATAGTGCAAGCATTTTTGCGTTTTTTTTTCAATTTTTTTTTCAGTTATTTAACTATTTACGTATCACTGTTTACTTTATTTGTTACTATGCAGTTTCGTAACACTTTTTATTTGTTGTACACTTTAATATAAATGATTATTCATCACTTCCTACTGCGCAAGTTTGTTTCCTTTTTTTAAGATCTTACTTCATGAACCACAACAACTTAAGATCTTTCTTCACCTGAAGCATTTACTTAAAGTAATCTCGATAATATATTTACATATGTTGTTCATACATATTTTGTATATCAATATTTGTATTGATTTACTTTTGTACATACGATGTATTCTTCAGTTATAATTTGTCTCATAATCTCATAATCTAACTCAAAAGTCATAATCAAACTTAGCTTTAGCTAACTTAGCGTTTAATTTAGCTTAAAAAAAAAAGCAAGGGTTGATTTAGTTTAGCTCAAAGCTTGAATCTAAAAAAACTATGTATTCTAATAATAAACTGATTTTTTTTTAATCAAAATATTTGGCATGTTTAGGTTGACATTTTTAAATTTTATTTAATATTTTTATTTAATTTTATATTTTGTTTAATATTTTAGGTTCATTTCTTATTTTTTTAGCATTTTTAAAATTGTTCTGCTTAAAACTTTCATCTTTAAAGCGTTATAACTTGGTCATGAGCATAAACCTCTTTCCTTTGAAATATTAGTTTTCTTAAATAAAGGAAATTTAATTTAATTATTTCGTGATCTCGTGATGCGTTCGATTGTATATATATCTGGATTGGTCGATAAATTTTGTTACATTATTCACTTAATTAGACATTCAATTACGTCTTACCAAACATTTCTCTCTATTCTTTGTTATTATTTTTTTGTTAAAATCAACAAATGTTTTTAAGAAGTAAGCGGATTGGTGTAACCAATAAATCAATATTATTTTTTGAAGGTACAATGGCAATAAATGTAAAACAATTACTAAAAAAATAAAAAATAAATAAACAATGATTGATGATGTTTGATAAGACCGTCAGTTTTTTGTTTAAGTATATGATCATTTTGATTTAGTTTAAATATTTGAAAAATTCTTTTAAAAACCTTTGCTCTTAAAATAAATCTTTGTGTTACCAATAACAAACTAGATTAAAGTTTCAAAACTGGAAAAAATCTCTTCAAAGAAAGCCGTAACTTGATCTTAAAACAAAAACAATGAGCATCTTTAGTTAGAAATTCTTTTTTTAATTCTGAAACTTGTGTTTACTTGTGTTTAACCTTTCTATTCTATAAAGTAATGCTTAGTATCTTTTTAGGGAATTATGGTCCCTTGAAGAAAAAAAAACACATTCAATTTTTTGTCTTTATGAGAAACGGTTCATGATAATTCGATCAACAGTTCAATAGAAATTAAAAAGGAGTCAAAATTTATGATTTTTAACTTGTATGTTGCTGAGTAAATAAAACGTATTTTGTTGTGAAGACAAAAAAAAATAATTTAAGGTTCAATATTTTTTGCCAGGTTTTAACAAGTTTTAAATATGTATTTTTAATTAAGACTATTTTAAATTGTTTTTTACTGATTTTGCTTGATGAATATTTTTATTTTATTGAAGTAAAAGTATTTCTTATAAAAAAAACTCCTTCTCCAATTAAAATAGTTTGACTTGTTTAATCAAACTTATATTGGAAAATTAACATGACAAATACTGCATATTAAAGCGGCACCAATAGAGTTTTTAACGAAAAAAACAAATTGATTGAAAAAGCCTATAAAGTATGAAATACGCATATGCCAATAGTAGGGTAGATCGCGGCACGTTAGCTCACATTATTATTACTATTTTTATTTTTTTGATGTGTTACTTTAAGAACCTTCTTTTATTTTTAATGGAAAAGGTTTGAGAAGACCTTAAACTATCCAAAAATAACAATACTAAAAAGTTCATATTCGGTTTTTAATAATGGTTTTTGTTAGGTTGTATTGTCTGGGTCAACTTATTCCGATAACGGTGTAAGTTCGCCCAGGCGATATGCATTATTTTACAGAGGTATAAAATATATTATTAAGATTAAACAACTCTTAAAGAGTGTTGAAACATAAAAAAAAAACAAAAAATTATGCAAACTTGTTGTTTTATAAACAAAAATTTGAAAATGATTATTAAAAAAATGATTTTAATCAATAGTTTTAATTTTGTTTAATAACGAGTACTTGTTAATAATTGGCTGATCTTTATCAAGCTCATTTGGTTTACAACTGATTCCATCAAGTATGGATGTCAAAATCAAGGAATAGTCACAAGCTCAACGTGATTTGGCTATTGACTTGTTCAAGAAAGGTAAAACGTTTAGGCTAATATCAAAAGCAACAGGAATGCCATTAGAAAACGTTTAGATATGTGAAAAAGGAGCTAAGAAAGCGTAAAACAACTTCTAGAATTGATCGACAAATTGCCAAGAAAATGCAAAAAAAATTGATTTTTATTATCCCTAAAAGCGTAAGGCCTTTTTGAAAAGGAATCTGGAATTCAAGTGAGTGCATGTATTATTCGCAATCTATTAAAAGAGATTGGATTTAAAGCAAGTTTTCCACGCAACAAACCATCCTTTTCAAAAACCCATCAAGACTTGCATTTACTAAAAAATATGTAAATATGCCGGTATCATTCTGGAGGAAGGTTTTGTGGACTGACGGTTTTGTGGACTTTGAAGTTTAAACTTGTGAAATCAGATGCATTGCATCATGAAACAGTAAATTTTTGGTGGAGACGTTGTTATGGTCTGGGGATTGATGGCTTAGAATGGAACAAGAAAGCCGGAGTTTATCATTTATTACTAACAATTTATCTTCCAACAAGACAACAAACCATTCATCATAGAAAGCAAAAGAATTATTTATTCAAAAGCTGATTGAGTTATTCGAATGACTTATTCGGCTTATTCTTCCGCACGGGGCCCATATGGGTCGTCAACTGGGTTTCGTATGGGAAAACCAACGGTATCCCGCCGGATCATGGCCGCGGTTTCCATATGGGTCTCATATGGGTGAGCCCGCCGGGTATTCCGTACGGGTCCCAGTCAAATCCCGTACGTTAAAAACGTAAGGGGCCCATTTGGATTTGCAAATGGGACCCATATAGGAAACCCATCGGGAACCCGCCGGATCTTGGCCGCGGTTTTCCTTTGGGGCTCATATTTGGGGCCTACCGGGTATCCCGTGAGGGTCCCACAAGGTTTACCCATTGCAAATCTTGCAAAACTACGTTTAAATGTTTAAAATTTACAGAAAAAGCAAATTTATATACAACTTGAATGGTTTATTTCAAAAAAATAATAATTATTATTACACTGTCGAAATTAAGCAAACTTTTAAACGATTCTTTAATCATGTATCGAATGCTTTCACGGTTATCTCGGGAATTGGAGGCTTTTCCAATGTTGTTAAAACGACTTCTTTGAATACCTCTTTACACAATATCTCGTTTCGATATGAGCTGTAAGAAAATTAAATTTAACTGTTAGTTTTAAATTTTATAAGTTTCCCCTAAATTTGCAAATGAGCTTCTAAACAAAGCTCTGCTTATATATATATATATATATATATATATATATATATATATATATATATATATATATATATATATATATATATATATATATATATATATATATATATATATATATATATAAGCAGAGATTTATATATATATATATATATATATATATATATATATATATATATATATATATATATATATATATATATATATATATATATATATATATATATATATATATATATATATATATATATATATATAAGCAGACAAATTGTTTTGAAATAACAAAAAATGCTTATATACATAAGCATTTTTTGTTATTTCAAAACAATTATCACTTTCATTACCTGAAACAAAACACTCTATACCTTGATAATTTTTAAATTGTAAACAGTGTCTCAATGCAATGATTACTACCATCAAAATAAGGAATACTAAACTTCTGTTTATCTTCTTGTACGTGTTTAAAAATCCTTTGGTCTTTGAACAAGCTTATTTAATTGACCTGGAAAAGTTTCGTATTTGAACATCTATCAAGTACTTAAAATTTAACTGTATTATTTCCTATATGTGCTAATAAATGGACATTGTAAACTAGTTGATCCTTACAATAAAGTTCACCAATAAAAGTGCACAAAATAAGTACAAAATAAAACATTATGAAATTAGAACTGCAACTGAAAAATCTAAAAATTTTGAATAGATTTTTACCTAAACCATTCTCTTTAAACAAACTGGCCCAGTGTATACTAGAAAAGTTCAGTTGCTTTCTATTTTTTAATATCTAATGAAGACCTTGGTTTTCTAGAAAATTTTCTTGGAATATAACGATGTATCTGGAACTATCCGTCAGATAAAGTATTGACTGTAATCTGAGATAATTTACAACATTTGGGCAATTTAACAATAAGTTGATGAGTCTTCGCATACCCCTAGGCATACTGATCCATAAAGTCTAAAGGAAACTTTGTCACCATGTCAAAATTCAATTCAATTTAACACACCACTAAGATGTTCAGAATACTTTTGACGAAAAAAAATCTGAATCAGCGCTTAAAATAAGTGAAATATGTGGGAGTATTATCCTGCCACACCACTCTCCTTTCTGAACACAACGCTCACATCAGTTATGACCATTGTGTCCCTTAATACGCTTAACAAATGTTCTAGCTGGTGCATCACATATGATAACAGCAAGATTGATTTTATATTCAATATTTTCATAGATAAAACCATCTTTTGCAAGAACTTTAAAATCTACCAAAAAATTATGTAGATAATTAAAAATGGAATTAGATTTTTGGATACCACCTTTTAAACAAATCTCTAAAAACCCAATTTGGGTCCCCTAAAATTGTGAGTCCTAGACCTAAGCTCTGACAGCAACATTTATAAATAGCAACAACTTTTGGCAAATTTTATTTAAAATTTTTTACTTGTTTTTTTAAATTTTGTCACTATTTTAGATTTTCATTGAATAAATTCCTATATATTTTTATATAAAACATTTATGGGGTATTATTCTCTTTTACTATCAGCTATCAAGCTGATTATACTGACTTGATCAGCTTCAGCTTTAACCTGAAGCTAATGAGTTTAAAGCTGAAGCTGAAATATTAGCTGCAACCCCTATTTTATAGACAACATAGTTAATATGATGTATATACATTATAGCAATACATGTGTTTTTTTTATACTTAAATACTTATTTTTTTATTTTATAATACATTTTTTTTAAACACATATTTTTTTATAACATTTAATACTTAAGAAAATATTGACTTTAGCCAAATATTCTTTAGATAAAAATAATATTTTCTTATATTACTCTAATCGAGGTAATAAACAAGGGTAATATTTACTCCAATCATTATATTTGTACCCCAAAGTTCATGCAATTCTATCCTACATAAGTCTCTCACTAATTCTAATAAAAAAAAGTTATTACCATTATTATTATAATTGTATTTACTAACCTGTCATTACTAATATTTATCAAATACATTCTGGTTGTTGAAGTCACTTTTACTCGTATCAGTATGCAAATATTGTCAACAGTCAGATTGCACCATGCAGGAATATTCTTAAACATGCTGCAAAATACAAGATATACATAAGATACATATCATATAAGACCTATAAAATAAATATTATCTTTTTTTAATCTATAAAATAAATATTATCTTTTTTTAGTTATTGTTATTTATGTTAAAGTTATTAAGCTAAATAAAAGTTTTATAACTAAAGTTTGAATGCAAAAGTTCATATCAATAAAAATTTTATTAGTAATGTAAACATAGGTATTATATTATAAGTATTTACAAGTATAGGTATTGTAAGTATAAGTTATTTTTACGTATATCATGAAATTACTGTTAATATTACAAGCGTACAATTTTAAGTCAAAGTCAAAAAATATCAATGAATAAAAAATGAGGTTGATGCATAACAATAAAGTCATTTTTTTGTATTTATATGTAAACACCTATTATTTATATCTGACGCTGGCTAATCTTCTTTGACATCATTCATTTAACTTGCATAAAATATAGAAAAATCAATGGAAAAGAGTGATCTGTAAAAACAATTTAAAAGCTTTTAATTCCCTAAATATAACCTATCTATCACAACATTCGCCTGTTTGCTCTTTTTAAATGTTTCTGACTAAACCAATGGTTTGATTAAACTCAAAGTAGTTATTACAATCACCAGCAGAAACAAAACTTTATATTTTGATCATTTTAAAAATGCAAACAGTGTCTCAATAGAATATTTACTACATGTTTAACAGTTACTGGAACATATGTTAAACAAATATGTTAAACTTTGTAAATTTATTTTTAAAGAAATATAATAAAAGTTCTTTTATAATGGTAATAAATAAATGAAATTTAAAACAACATGTTTTTATAATAAAATTGAATAGAGTTTCACAGTGAAAAAATACATCGAAAAAAATTTCTCTTTAATTACAATGTAAATATAATGTATACAAAAAATATAATGCATAAATGTTAAATTTTTAAATTTATTTCACGCACGAATTATAAATCGCAACCATCGAGTAAGTTTTGTTACGATTTTTTTTAATTAACAGTTTAAACCTTTTAGAAACCTTACGGTAAACTGGTCAAATCCCCAGATTCTTCAGCCCTGATTAAAGCCAGATAAAACCAAATGAAGCATATGCTTGATTTTTTTTACTTTATGGGACCCGTCCGGAAAACGAAACACTTACCCTTCAAAATCCCGTTCCCGTAAGCCCAGACAAAAACCATACGGTACCCGTCTGTCAATGTTAGCTAGGTAGAGCATTTTGATTTTTTCCAAAACTCAATATTTTCAAATTTAAACCAAAAAGGTACAATTGCTATGCTAAATAGACCATTTTCTTGCTTAGTATCCTCTTATAGTTTTGGCCATCAAATTTTTGTTTATAAATGCTTTGAGATGAGGCTCTATCGAACCCTACTTCTACATAAAAATTCCATTCATCTCAACCTCAAAACACTCACTTAAAAACCAAATTAGGTTAAGACATAAAACAGCATTTAGATTTATAAGAAAATATGTAAATATTTGATTGAGTATTTTTACAGACACGTCCGAAATCAACTTTTTCAAAGAAAGAGGGGCGAGCAAAACTTTAAACAAAACTATGCTTTACTCAATTTGAAATATCTCTTTAAGGAGTAAGAAAGTTTAGCAAAGCCTTCAGAATTATCTTGAATATAGATAAATAATTCTTGTAATTCTTTATTGGTCACCTTATGATATATATATATATATATATATATATATATATATATATATATATATATATATATATATATATATATATATATATATATATATATATATATATACATATATAAATATATATATATATATATATATATATATATATATATATATATTTATATATATATATATATATATATATATATATATATATATATATATATATATATATATATATATATATATATATATATATATATATATATATATATATATATATATAGTGAAAACTAAACAATTATTAAGATATATTTCAATACATTACTAGAAGTTTCACACAATAGCGATCATCAGACGTAACAACAGCAAAAAAGTACCGACAAAAATTATATACAAAAAATGCTATGGAGTGTCCGCTATAATGACATTAAAGTTTTTTATTAAAAAAAAGTTTTTTTCATGGCGGCACTTTGACGCAAACTTGGTTCATTTATTAAGCAAACTTTATGGTGATAGAATAATGTGGTATTTTTCTGCCAAGCATAAATTGCAAAATTTACCACCAGGTTTGAATGACTACGCTTGATCGAGAACATTCCATTTTAGTATAGGTTCTAAAGCTTTATTTTTACCACACAAGTTTCGAAAGTTCAGTAGAGTTGGCTTTTATAAACTTACTTTTATAAACTTTACTTTTATAAACAAAAGAGTTTTTATGTTTATACTACCTGTCTTTGAAAGTATTCTCAGTAGGCCCAGTGTAATAATACCCTTCTTCTTCTTGGTGAGTTTTTACGTTGCAAATATAAATAAGGCATTTTAAAAGGCATTTTCCATTGAGTGAGCTTAAGGTGGTTTGTCGACAATTGCATAATTGATTAGCATTTTTATGAGAATTAAATAGTATATTATAACTATGAGAAATAATAATACTCTTGATGTTTGGAAGGCAGTTTAACCTTTAAGTTGTTCCAGTTAAAAAGTTGTGAAATTTGTGGCCTTTAGGGAAACATTTATAAATTGTACTCAAAAATGTTTTCGCTACGTTTGTTCTGACGTTGAACGAGTAAGGTGGATTAAACCAGATAACGTTTCTTTTTCGAGATTATGTATTATATTTCTAGATATTTGGAATGAATTTGATCTTATATTTGAACTCACAAGAATTGAGAGCTTTATTATAAAATAGTGCGGTTCTATCAAAAGCTTCTTTGCTTGAAGATATATATATATATATTACTGATACGATAAAAGATCATTTTTGGTATCAATTTAATAATGCTTGGTGGGTGATTGGAATTGATGTTAATATACAAAGGATTATCTCCTGGTTTTCTATAAGTTTTAAAGAGTTCTTAGAAAGGTTAAATGTGATATCAAGAAAATTAACGGTTTTTAAGCCAACTCAGCGCTTGAATAGTACTTCGGTAAGCAAAAATGTTGGTCAATAATGAATGCTACTTTGGATTAGTCTTAATGACTATTTTTGGCTGTTCCTATGCTAAACCAACAATGACTTTGGATATAAGAATATTGTATAGAAAAGTATAGCATGAAAGTTCAAATAAATAAAAAATATCAATAAAAAAATAAGTTTGGTTTGATGGTGATGTTAAGATTAAAATTTTCTTCAAAATTTTTATTAAATTTATCTTTATTTTTTGTGATGGTGGACCACTGATATTATAGAAGCAACAAAGACCATCATCTTTATATAGATCGGTAGTGTTAAGACCATATTCTTTGGCAATAGTATATAAGATATAAAGACCAACTAATTTGCATAATTCGGCTACGTCAAAACTACCCACGGTGATATCGAAATTTGGGTCTGTAGTAGTAGAGTAAAATTTATCAATATCGTACTGAATGAAAGTACATGTATTTTTTTCGGGTATGGATTTTAACCATTTTATGACGTCATTTGTGCAATGCAATTGGTGTGTGTGAAATTTGGTTGGTGTGGTGTGAATGAAAGTACATTTATTTTTTCCGGGTAGGGATTTTAACCATTTTATGACGTCATTTGTGCAATGCCATTGGTGTGCGTGGGTAGGATTCCTAACTTTACTATTGATACCATCTAATAAAATTGTATTTACTTTTCCGAGCTTGAGCTTAGCTGAATTTAGTAATCGATACTGCGTATTGTTGGGGAAATTATCCTTATGATCTTTTAAGGTAAGGGATGGAGTATGCCCAAGCCTTTAGTTATGATTTTAGCATCTGTGTTAATGATGTTATATTGTGTGATATCAGATATTTTATAGATTTCAGTAATATTTCAAGTATAAAGTTTATGATACGAAGGTTTATCTAGTTCATAGAGGTTTCTTGATTTATCAGCAAAGACAAAAACATTACTTGAAGATTTTATTTTTACTAAGTCAGTTTGCAATTGCTTTTTAAAATTATTTTGAATTGTAGAAAATGAAATATTCTTAACTAGCTTAATTAAATCGTTTTCAAAATATACTAAATTTGGATATTGTGGTGGAGATTTTCTCGACTTGAGATCGAAATTATTAGCAGGCTCTTGATTACGATTATTTTCGTACATCAAAGCTTTCCATCTCATTCGCTTTATTTGCGACTCAACTTTCTCCGTTAGGCATTTTAAGTATTTTTTTTTTAGATGGTGATGGTACGTTCTTTAATGAATAGTTGAAATAATGATTTGCGATAACTTTAATTATTTAATATAATTGAAGATATTAGAGAGTGATCAACATAAAGGAGCAAAAGCTTTTTTCGTTGTTGTTGCATCTGATCATCGCTATTGCGTGAAACTTCTAGTAATGTATTGAAATATATCTTAAAAATCATTTAGTTTTCACTATATTGTTTGCTCTACTAATTACATAACACGCTGCATTGAGCACTTTTACTGGAAACATTAACACAATTCCTAAAATATTATCGCTCCTTTATGTTGCGCACTCTCTAATATCTTCAGTTATATTAAATAATTACAGTTATGGAAAGTCATTAATTCAACTACAAATCAATCGAAATTATTTATCATACCAGAAAATCTTTACTTTTTTAAGGAAATAATATGTGAATTAAAAAGTCGGTGGACCCCAATTTCGATGTCGTTTTTTTCGATTTAGTTTAGACGTAGCCGAATTATGCGAATTAGTTGGCCTCTATATCGGGTGGACACGGAAAAATCCGGTCAACTTTAAATTGAGATTTCTCCAAAACCATTTTTAATTTTTTTTAAATTAAACCTTACTTCCTTATCTTAAATGGTGTTGATGAACTTTTGTTTACAAATTAATGATTTGCAAAATGTTTTGGAAACAAATTGAGGTGCGTAAAAAAGTTGTGAATTTTTTTTGCAAAAATCTTCAAAAAAATTCAAGACTTCTTGTTCTTATATCAAAAAAGTACTTAAAAATGCTGGAATTAAAGCATTTCATAAAAATAATACACCTAAGAGAAGCTTAAATTGTAAAATTAAAGGAATTCAACGTGCAAAGAAGTTGGTTAAAATAATGGCGGATAAAAATATGAGCATAATTGAAGACGACGAAGCGTATTGCAGGGCGGATTTTTCACAACTTCCTGGTCAACAGTTTTACTATAAAAACAAAGATAAACCTGTCAATGATCAATTTAAATATATTTGAAGAGAAAAATTTGCATCCAAGTTCCTTGCATGGAAGCAATTTGTAGCTGTGGTATGCAGTCCTCTTGTTTTCTCACTAAAAAGACCTTGACTGCCAATCTCTACATCAAAGAATGCTTCCAAAAATGACTTTTGCCTTTTATAAAAAAACACAAATACCGATGTCTCTTTTGGCCCAATCTTGCTGCCTCTCACTATTCTAAAAAAATTCTACAGTGGTGCAAAAATAATAATATGAAAATTGTTCTTAATAATGCGAATTCTCCAAATCGTCCTGAAAAGCGCAAGGTTGAAGATTTTTGGGCAATAGTTAAAGGAGTTCTTCGTAAGACAGGTGGAATAACAAATAATAAAAAGGACTTCCAAAAAAAGTGGATTAATGACACCAATATAGTGGAAAAAAAAATCTGTTAAGTGATGACATCAACCCGCTATAAAGTTCGATTTCTTGCCAAACAACACATCAAGCCCCTTAAAATTAAGTTGAAACTCTAATTTATGTAAACACATTTAATAATAAAAAAATTGAAATAAAAAGCATTCATGGTTTTAGAGAAATCTCAATTTAAAGTTGACCGGATTTTTCCGTGTCCACCCGATGTATTATATACTATTGCCTAAAAATATGGTCTTAATACTACCGGTCGATATAAAGATGATTTTCTATTCTGGTCTTTGCTGCTTCTATAATATCAGTTAACCCGACGCGATTTTATAAAAGCAAATTGTTCAACCGCTTCTGAAATATTTAACAAACCAGCAATGTCACTTTCTATTGCAATAATTGAAACATTACTGAGACGTTTTGTGTCATGGAAGTTTTAAGTTAGTTTTTAATTATTTTCAGTTTTGAGAAACTTCGCTCTCCTGATGCAAGGGAAATTTGTTCTATTATTATGTTGGTGAATTGTACGTGTTAGAAATCACGTAGATGCGTGTTGAAAGTCACGCATCTACGTAAGTTATTTCAACTGTAATTAACAGTATATTCTCATGGGACTTTTTAATTTAATATATATAGAGAAAAGATTTTTGTATAGGAGGTTAGAAAGAATATATAAAGCTATAGATTATAAACGTTATTAAATTAAATGGACGCGACGATAAAACAAGCTATTTCGGCCATTATGCCACCGGTATTCGATGGCAACCATCAGCGGTTCGTCCGCCAACTACGAACATACATAACTGCGATGGACGTACCCGAATCCAAAAGAAAAACAATAATATTAACATGTTTGCCACCACAGATTTATTCCGCACTAGAAGATCTATGCTTGCCTGCATACCCTGAAGATGACTCAGTTACCTACGAAGACATCGAGGAAAACATCATGAAGCTTTTTAAACCGAAGTCATCGTTAATACTACGCTTTGAATTTGCAACTATAAAAAAAGCAAGTAACGAAAATGTGACGGAATTTTCACGACGGATTACAAGAGCTGCTGAAGGATGCAAATTCACGGATAGTGATGATCGAATGCGCGACCAATTCATCACGGGTTTTAACACTGGTGTTACAATCAAACGGTTACTACTGGAATCTGAAGAACTAACTTTTGAAAAGGCTGTGGAAATAGCTGTTACCCTTGAATGAGTAACCCAGAAAGCTCGACAATTAGATGGTTCCGAGAATGTAATGATTGGCGCAACATCGTTACTTTTACAGACGTCTGGTGCGTCCGACATAAACAAAGTTAAATGTTTCAATTGTGGAAAACTTGGACATTTTGCAAGGGACTGCGAAGAAAAATGCAAGACTTGCTCACACGATCATCAAGCTAAAAACTGCTTTAAACGATTGCAAGGTTTAAAAGGAAAAGGGAGAATCTGGAAATAATGGCATCCAGTATTCTCCCAGAAATGACGTTGCCATCATTAAAAGTGAAAATAAATGGAAGGCTTCGAACAGCATTAATTGATTCTGGATGCTCCATCACTGTGGTTGATGCTGAGTCCGCGCATGGGCTTGTGTTAAAAAGTCAAAAACTTATCACAACTTTGGGAGGAACTGTGCAAGTGCTGGGTGAAATGGTAATCAATCTGGAAATTGATGGAATACACCGGATAGTTAATTCTCTGGTTGTAAAAGAAAAACCATGTGGGTTTGATTTGATTTTTGGAATGAATGCAATTAAAAAATTTGGAGGAGTTATCATTTATGGTAATAAAAACTGTAACGTCCGAATGTTAGCATGTGACAAAGCGAAATGTGGTGCCGTTACTACGACGAGAAAAAACGAAAACGAAATAAACGAATTAAAAATTGATGTTATTAATACGACAAGAAAAAGCGAAAACGAAGTACAAAAAATAAAATGTGATGTCAAAAATACAACAAGAAATGAAGAGAACGAAAGAAACGAAATAAAACATCAGGACTTCACAGCAAAGTTCGGCGGAAAAAAATGGACGGCATCATGGAACTGGAATAAAGAGCCTGTAATTGATAATACCATTTGTGAATACAAGATGAACCAAGAGCACGAACGTAGTTACCGTAAAGAAATACGTGAATGGATTGACTCTGGTATTCTTGTACCATATAACGAACTAATATTGGGACCACCAAAAGTATTGATACCGCTTATGTGCGTAGTGCAAGAAAACAAGGACAAAAAGGTACGTCCAGTGGGAGATTTCCGAGCTCTCAACGAATTTGTAAATTGTCATACGGCAAATGCGGACATTTATCAAGAAAAACTGCGTTGCTGGAGAAAAATAAAAAATGCAAAAATTCTCGATCTTAAAAAAGCCTACCTCCAAATTAATATTGATAAAAAACTTTGGCCATATCAAACGGTGATTATAAATGGGCAACGGTATTGTTTTACCAGGATGTGTTTTGGCATCAATGTGGCTCCAACAATAATGACCACAATTCTTCGGCATGTGCTCAATTTAAATCCAACCGTAAAGAAAGCATGTGATAACTACATTGATGATATATTTGTGGATGAAAGTGTGGAAACTGCGAAAAATGTAGCGAAGCATCTGCTTAAATTCGGATTACAATGTAAACCGCCACAAGATCTTGAACAAGGACGTGTCTTAGGATTGAGAGTCGATAGAAATAAAAACGGGGAACTGATATGGAAACGAGACAATGTGGTACAATTCGAATCTTTAAATGCAGTCACACGATCACAGCTTTTCAGCCAGTTAGGCAAACTTATTGGACATTACCCAGTGGCAGGAAGTTTGCGTTTACAAGCTTCATACATCAAACGTTTAGCTGGAAATATACTTTGGTGTGATTTTATTTCTGAAGATTGTAAAGAAAAACTGAAAGAGTTGCTTTACCGTGTGGAAAAAGAGGATCCGGTTGGTGGAAAATGGCTGGTACCAGTTAATGGAAAAGCTGAGCTTTATTGTGATGCATCATCTATAGGACTTGGGGTAGTTCTGCTCATTGGTGGAGTAGTTGTTGAAGACGCAGCATGGCTACGGCCAGCGAGTGACACACACCATATCAATATAAGTGAACTAGATTCTATACTTCGAGGACTAAACTTAGCTAGTAAGTGGGGCATAAAAGAGTTAACAGTATACAGTGATAGCAAGAGCACCGTAGGATGGTTAAACGCAGTTTTGAAGGAAGAATATCGCGTAAAAACTCGGGGAATTTCTCAATTGTTAGTACAAAGACGATTGAATACTATTAAGGAAGTGGCAAAAGATATTCAGATCGCAGTACAATGGATTCCGTCTGAGATAAATTTGGCTGATCGACTCTCACGAATCCCTCAAAAATGGTGCAGAACAGTGTGTGCAGCTGGATTACTTGAACAAAAAGACATATGGAAAATTCATTCAATTGGTCATTTTGGTGTTGCTCGAACATTACAACTTTGCTTGCGAAATAATCAGAATGTATCACGTAAGGAGGTTTCAGCAGTAATTGCGAATTGTAACCAGTGTAACTCCATTGATCCTTACTGCGTAAAGTGGAAGAATGGCCAACTAAGCGTAGAAAAAAATTGGAATCGGGTTGCCATTGACGTGTAAGTTATTGCCATTGACATGTAGGTGCTGAACTGTACTTATCAATGATTGACTGTGGTCCATCACGGTATACAATATGGCGTAAACTTGCAACTAAAACAGCTGCTGAAGTTGTTGGTAGACTCGAAGAAATATTCTCTTTATTTGGTCCGCCAGTATGTCTTCTAATGAACAACGAATTTCGGTCCAACACGTTAACAAGTTTTCTGAAGAATGGCATGTTAATTTGGAATATCGAGCAGCACATCGAGCTCAAGGTAATGGTATAGTTGAACGTATACACAGAACGATAAAAAGAACGGTCGCTCGCTCACATTGTTCAATCGCTCTGGCAGTTGCTGTACAACGAGACAATATCATCCAATTGTACTGAAAGTCCATCCAAGCAATTCAAGAAAAGATCGACATGTTTCATCCCAGGCGTCGATACTCGGAGGAAGGTAGACGAGAAAGGCGTAAGCAAGAAATTCAAAGTGGGTGACAATGTTTGGGTAAAACCAACTCAAGAAACAAAATGTGACCAGCCGTGGATACCAGGCGTAGTACGAAAGCAAAATACTTTGTCGTTTGACGTGGAAACTGCGAATCGGGTATATCCGCGTCACATTTCACACCTGCGTCGCCGTACAGATGTACAGAGTTCAAATGAATCAGTCAACGATGTTTTTTATAGACTAAACGATAAAACTGATAACGTTAAAGGAAGTTATAAGGATGATGTCGCTCAAGTTCAAAATGATTCTCAAGAGTTCAACGTGCTGCAAGTAACACGCTCCGGACGAACAGTAAAGCCCCCACAAAGATTAGACTTATGAGTTAATTCACCAAGAGGGCATGCTCTATTATTATGTTGATGAATTGTACGTGTTAGAAATCACGTAGATGCGTGTTGAAAGTCACGCATCTACGTAAGTTATTTCAACTGTAATTAACAGTATATTCTCATAGGACTTTTTAATTTAATATATATAGAGAAAAGATTTTTGTATAGGAGGTTAGAAAGAATATATAAAGCTATAGATTATAAACGCTATTAAATTAAATGGACGCGACGATAAAACAAAATTGGAATTGTTAGAAAAAGTTTTAAACTCGTGGCGACATTTGGAAAAGACGTCTCCAAATTGTATTTATATAAAAAATTTGGGAGTTATTCAGGTTGCTTTTTGTCTTTCACGATTATTTTCAAAGAAATTATTTCTTATACAAATCCGCGCCATTGATTATTCATACAATACAAATTATTTCATCATACAAATCCGCACCATTGAAGAACTCACCATATTTATTATGAAGATCGAAACCACTTTTATTTATTTTTTTCATCTTCCATATCAATAAATTGAAGATAAATCCAAAACATTATTCGAAGTTTGACAAAGTTTCAAAACGAGTGGTAAAATGATGAAATAGCTGTATCTAGTATTACATAATAAAAATTACCCAGTGGGTACATGTACGTTTTTCAAACGTTTGGTAATCGTTTAATGGTCGCTTAAAGGACGATTGTATAAGTAAAACGTTCAAAATACGTTCATAAAACGTTTTAATAGAAATTGTTTTATCATTTAATTATATATTTTACGGGACCTTAAGAAAAAGTTTAAAAAACGTTTTCCAAGCTAAAATCGGCGCACTGCGAATGTGCAAAATTATATTTGTTGCGCTCTTCTCATTGATGTATGAAGTTTTCCTGAATAAAGTAAAATGTGATTAAACTAAATGTATTCTATGATTTTTTAAGGTCTTTTTCATTGTCCGCTTATACAGGATGTCTGCCAGATCAGGGAAATCAGTAAAAACATGGAAAAGTCAGGGAATTCAGATATCTGCAAACAAAAAATCGGGGGATTATTGGGTTAAATTTTAGACTAAATCTGGGCAAATGGCTCTCCATCAAACTTACATAACTTGAATAAGTTGTACACGGTACGCGTAACATTGAAGTTTATTTGGCAGATATAAGAACTTCTCTTCATACATTTAATGTGGGTTGTATTATTGTTTATACTTTTGCAGTTGAAGAGCATTTTTCTAAACGAATCTAGGTCAATTTTGGTGAAGTTGAGTTTGGGTAACTTTAAATCAAATCAGAGAAAACATGTAAAAGATCAGGGAAATATCAGGGAAAAGGCAGAGAAATCCACCTTGAAATATTGGCAGACACCATGTAATAATGTTTTGGATGAAATTATGTCAAAATGTTTTATAGCATTGTTTAAGAATGCTGGAACTTATGATAATAGACTCGTTAAAAAAAAAAACTTTATTGTATAGAGTAATTTAAAGGTAATTTTTTAATAAATGTGGTGTGTATGTCGTTTATTTTGTTCCTTTTATATACTTTGTGAAATTTCACATTACTTATTTCTTATTATTATTATTTACACTTTAATTTATTTTTTTAAATGCTAGTGAAATGCATGAAAGATTTGAAAACCGTTTTTTAATGGACCATTAAAAACATGCACAAGAAAGTTTTTTAATGGATCAGTAAATATATATATATATATATATATATATATATATATATATATATATATATACATATATATATATATATATATATATATATATATATATATATATATATATATATATATATATATATATTATATATATATATATATATATATATATATATATATATATATATATATATATATATATATATATATATACATATATATATATATATATATATATATATATATATATATATATATATATATATATATATATATATATATATATCTTTTGTGGGTTTTTGTAAAAACTCCTAGATATTGTATTTATTTATAAAGGAAAAAACTCCTAGATATTGTATTTATTTATAAAGGAAATAATAGTATTATAGGAAATAAACTATTAAAGATATCTATTATAAAAGAAATTCTCATGGAAGTTGTTTCAGTGACATTTTTTTTACCGACAAATAAAAAATTGTGGAAAAGAATTAATAAATTGACTTTTATATTCTAACTCGACAGGAAAAAGTTTCTACTTCTGTTATCATTTTTTTTCATCGATAAAGATAAGCCTAGCTTCAAGTGGATTTTCTGATTATGCCCATACAGGAATACGGTTACCTTAACATGAATCTTTAAAGAAACATCTTGAATCAGCGTACAAATGACAAGTTCTAGAATTTTACATTAAACACAGAACAGGAATCATCTTAATGAAGATGCGTTTAATTAAGAAAAAAGCAGATGGCAAATAATTTTAAAATGTATTGTAAAAACGGTATTGTTTTTAAGTGAACGAAATTTAGCTTTTAGGAGCAGCAACGAAAAACTCTTTGAACCAAATAATGGTAATTTTTTATAATAATTGAATTACTTGCTAGTTTTGTTACAGAACTTAAAATGCATTTGAAATCAATCACTGATACAGAAAAAAGAGTTGCATCATATTTTTTGTGAAAAATTGAATTTATCTTACAACTAGCTTTTAGAGTTTTACATACAATAGTAAGTAATGTTAAGTCATCAAAATACTTTTCCGTAATGATAAATTCTACACCAGGTTTTCGCAAAAACGACGAGTTGTCCATCATTACTCGGTATGTTATAATAGCGGACCAAAAGCCAAGTGTTCAAGACAGTTTCTTAAACTTTGTAAATATAATGTCGTCAACCGGAGAAAATTTAGCAAACGTTTGCATTGAGGAATTAGAAATATTAGGAATCAAGATTGCTGATTGCCGAGGTCAGTCGTATGACAACGCAAGCAATATGAAAGGAGAATATAAGGGAGTGAAAAGTCAAATTTTAGAAGTCAACAACACAGCATGGTATACGCCGTGTGGTGGACATAACATCAATTTAGTTTTAAATGATAGTGTTAAAAATACTATTAAAAGTCAGAATTATTTAACTACATTAAATAATTTATATAAAATTTTTGCTGCATCAACAAAGCGATCGGCTATTCAAGTAAAATATTCAAAAATTAATCTGAAGGTGCCAAGCAATACTCGATGGGAATATTGCTTTAAAAGTATAAAAGCCGTGAATACCAGATAAAAGAAATTAGTCTTTCGCTAGATATATTTTATCAAACTACCCGTTATTTTACGGAAAACCCATCGCATGTAAACGGATATTTCCGTTAACAAACGATTTTTTTCCGTTAAACTACAATTAAATAACGGGTAGTTTGGTCATCGGCAGCTGCTGGAACTTTTCCGTAAATAAACGGATACTTCCGTTTAAATTAAACAAGCTTTTCCCGTTAAACAACAGAAAAGGTTGCTGCAACTCAGTTTACAACAACTTCGTTTCCGTAAATAAAAGTAATGTTGCAGTTTATATTCCGTTTATATGAAAATTTAAACAAATTATTTTTAGGAACTATTATATATATTATATCGATTGTATGTTTTTGAAAAAATTTTCTGAAAACAAATTTTCTTTGATTTTTATAAATTTCGCTTCAACAGATATACGAATAAATAATAAATTAGTAAAGTAATAAACACTTTCAAAAATATTTACAATTTTGATAAAGTATATAAAAGCACATAATAATATAATTATATTACATATTCCTTTATACATTTAAAATATAGATATACTTAAAAAATCTTTTAGTAAGATATATTGGTTAAATAATAAATACAAATATAAGTAAATCAATCCAAATGCACAAAAATAGTCTTTCCTTTCTTTTCCATTTCGAGTCAACTCTTAATCTAAAATAAAAACAAAAAAAAAAGTTTTTTTGTAAGGAAAGATTTTAATATTTAACAAAGTAATAAATTATAAAAAACACTCATCATGTGCAATGGTTACCTTAATACTGTTACTCAATATGAGTGGTTTAACTAAGGCCAAGTAACAAACTCTTGATAAAGTTAAAAAATATTTTGAGCAATAAATAAATAACTACAAGAAATAAAAACTTAAATTGAAGTTGATGATTGAGTGATACAAATAGAGGTTTTAAAGTGCAATATAACCAATCTCAGTTTGTCATTGTAATGGTGATAACCAAATTTT